CCCGAGCCCCCACCCCCCCCCCCGCCGCCCCCCCCTCCCCCCCCCCCCCCCCCCCCCCCCCGCCCCCGCGCCCCCCCCCCCCCCCCCCCCCCCCCCCCGCCCCCCCCCCCCCGTATAATAGGCATTCTAGTGCAATTCTAGAATTACGAATGATAGCAACTGATGAAACGATCTTGGCTTGATTAGTCACTAAGTTAGACGGAATTGACCGTCTGAAACCTCCGGTCCAGAACATCTACTAAGGAGCATGAAGCATGGCAGCGGACTTTTTTCCAAAATAGTATTCGTTCGCGTCGGTACGTACCGCTGTCCTACCCAAAATATGCAAGTACACATGCGGATGACAGTGGCTTAGAAGCAGAATAATCAGCTCGTAGGATTAGGGAGACATTAAAATCAGCGTTCCTATAAGAGAGTCTGACATATTTCCATGCTTTAAGTAACTAACAACTATAGCCTGGGCGAGTAACGGTAGGTGATAAGACCAGACAAACTATTCGGCATTAGATATTCTCTCTCTTTGAGGCATCCATACAATATCGGTAGTGCAGTCAACGACCCCTGGATTCGATTGCGACGTTATATTTAGTGCGTCTCGAATAATTTTTTTATACATAGGAGGTACCAAACGTAATAGGCTACTTCAAGGAATCTAAGCAAGATCTAAACTGGTAACATATACTTGATGAGCTCTTGTAAAATGACTTTACATGTTAAATGTCGGGATATATACTACCCCCATACATATATCATATCTCATTCTTTTACATTGTCTTCATAACTATAGACATATTTCAATGGGCGACCACCCGCTATATGCATCATACCAAGATATAAAGTTAATCATCCGTAAACTCCCCCCCTGACTCCCCGTAAATGGATATTTGAATGTAAGGAGCCTGATTTCCTCCTATTCTGTAGTTTAATGCAGGGAACTCAACATAAACGAAACGTCAAAGCATAAATCATATCACCGAACGACCGAATAAGCCCGTTCTTTATCCTCCTTGTCCTTCTTTTTCTTGAATAGGGCCTTGAGCATGTTATCCTTCTTCGGGCGAAGTACCACGTCGATGGAATTTCCCCGGTCACTGCGACCATCGTCGATGGCTTTGACCTCTACCTTCTCTGACCGCTTAGACTTAACGGTGCGATCTGCCTTATCGTTTCGGTGGCTCTGGACGCTCTGGTGGCTTTTATGACTCTGAGTACTTCGGCGGCTTCGGTGGCTGCCCGCCTCGCTGATGCTATCGACTTCTTTGGCGCCGCTACTGCTTTTGTGCTCCGGGATGTCGTGATGCTCGCCTGAACTATCTTTCCGACTCTTCTGAGGTTTTTCAGACTTGCTAGCCTTCGTCGTCTTACTAGTTTTACTAGTCTTGCTCGTACGACCAGTTCGGTTTGTGCGAACACTGCGCTCGGTTCGCGCATCGTCACCGCCGTATTGACTACGCATCGCGCGATCAGCCTCGGGGCTGATAAGCTCGAGATCGGCTTGCTCGTCCTCGCCAAAAGGCGCAATACCCCGGCGCCATATTTCAATGCTGCTCAACTCTTCCTCGATCACGAGAGCCTCGTCGAAACCCTCACTCACTTCCGACTCCGGATACTGAGACCTATTGGCTTCAGCAGGACCTGGTTGGTAAGCTGGGAAGGCCATCGGTGCGGCAGCTGCAGTAGTATTGGCTTCCTGTATGCGCTTCACAATCTTCCAACCTCCGAACATAACCACTGTTACTCCAACTGTCACACCAGCCGCAATGAGGAACTGAGGGCTGGCTAGAAGAGCAAAGATTGCAGGGCTTCCGCCTTTGAGGACGGTAAGGAAAGAGGGCGACATCTTTCCCAATAGTGCAGAGAGCTCGGCAAGCGTGAGAGCGACAGCAGCGGCAGCGTCCGGGTTTCCCTGCAAATGCTGTATGATATGCGTCGCGGTATGATGTAAGCATTGAGCCTCCGTTAGCAGGTTCTCGATCTTCTCTATTATGCTCATTGCTTCGCGCTCTGTTTCCACGTTCTTTTCGACATTCTTCTGGACGGGGTCTAGATCAACCCTTTCCTCGAGATCCGGAGGAAGACTGCCATATGCTAAGTTCATGTCAACATCCTTCCCCTTCTCCCTCGATGCCAGATCTGACGTTGATCGGGGTAGGGGCACCATTCGCCCAGAGTCAGATCCAACCGGCTCCTCGGTGTAGATAGGCATTGTTTGCGCATGCGCGAGCGTCGGTCGACTCAACGTCATATCTCTTGGGGCAGTCTCAGCATAAGGAGAACGATATGTAACTGGAGGTCGCGAAGGAGCCGTAGAGGAGACTTCTGTAAGGGTCTTCAAATTGCGCTCGGTCAAGGCTGTTCCCGCCTGGGAAGCAGACCGTTTTGAGCGGTGGCTCCTACGGGAAGTGGCTTGAGAAGCAGCGTCATCATGGGATGACCGCCGATGCCATCCATCATATTCAATCCCATCATAGTACCGAGATGCAGATGGTACATCGATGGTCTCGCTACGCTTAATGGCGCGTTCAGCTTTAAGAGCCGCCTTTTTCTCTTGATAAGAGGCCCTGGCCTCCTTAAGCACATTGATCAGGTGTTTGCCCTGTTGAAGCAATAATTGTTAGGCTGTGTTGCGTTAAATGTTAAGATTGAAAAAGAGGTCTCTGCTTAAAGGGAGTTTTGGACTCGATCGACCGGAGAAAAAAAGGTATTTTGCGGGGCAGATTTAAAAAGCAAACCCCATACATAATACAGATATATCGGTTGGTACCAGTCATAGTATTATGATGGGTTGCAGCGGCAGTAACGTAAAAATATGAAAAGCGACGACCGCAACTTACATTGCTGATTATCTTCCCCGACGAATTCACGATTGTAACAACTTCCACAGGCATTGTAGCAACACTTGTTCTTCTCTTGGAAAGTTGGGAATGAGAACCACAAGAAAAGGTAAGTTCTAGTCTCGTTACTTATGAAGTAGCGAAGAAAAAAAAAGGGACGAGGCGGGAACGCAACCGGTTAGCTACCCTAAGGTACCTAGGCCAGCACGGTTGTCATTCGTCTGTCCAGCCAACACGCGGCGGTGAAGGGATCGTTGAACATGGACGGGGGTAATAAAGTGGGAATAGGAGGTCTTAACGTTGACGCACTTGACAGAACCTCGCGAGCGGGACGAGGGTTTATTTATTTATTTAGTTACCTGCCTAACCTAATTTGAAAAACTGGTTACTATGAAAGCCGATGAACCGTTTAATGCACTATGTGAGAGAGGATATAAGAGGATGATTAGTATGGTTGAAAAATGCCCCGAAAACGCCCTATTATGGTAAGAGTCCACCCAAGGGCCAACAGCGCATCCGAGCTATCGGACTCGGGGAAAGCCATCATTGATTGGCTGATTAAAGGGTAGATCAGGCGTGCTTGCAGGCTCTTCAACTGCACCACGTTGACGATTTTTATGGCGGCCGAGGGACACGAGGGATAAGTAAGATCAGTATGCAAAATGATGTTATCTTTTACTCGCGAGGCCCAGTTTATGCTGCATCTATACAAACGAAATGCCATATAATCTGCGGCCGCCTTCTCAATTCCAGAGACTCGGATCATTAAAATGGAGTTTGGAGGCCGCCTAGAAATTAAACGAAAAAGAAAAAACAAGGGGGGAGAAGGGGAGCGTTAATACCGGACAACCCAACAACGAGGACCTGAGCAAGCATATCACGCAAAGGACCGGAGATAAATTAGACCAACTACTACGTTAGTATAATCTATTATATTCAAGGAACTATTTAATCCAGTCGTAATTCAGTGTGCTCAGCGCGCTCGCCTCGTTACTACGTTGGAGCGCATAGTAGTAGTGGGAAGACTGTTGAATTGTGAATTGCTGCTGATCGCGCGGGAGGAGGCCAAACAAGCATTGTCAATCGGAGGCAATCGGGCAGTGCTCGGTTTGCTTGGCTTTTTGTTATCAAGCCATCCAGTGAAGAAAAATGCAGGCTTTGAATGGAGACAAGTGGCGGCTATCGTGACCGCTCAAGCCAACGATCCTCCTCCCCCCAAGGCAAGGATAGCAGGATACGCCCTAGTAAGAAGAGGGGATCACGACGGCGGCTCTAACGGGAAGTGCCCGCGAGGGAGAAGCTAGCCTCTTAGCCTAGGGCTGGGACCCTCTGCCCATTATCACCTACTGGTACTCGCTGCGTTCTACGGTTCAAGAATCGCGCCAGCGATGATGTGGAGTCCATGTTTTGGTCCACTTCGCCATATCTATGTAGTCATCATCCTCTGATCCCTATGTCGTGCGGATATTTTCCACTACCTGGGCTGAACCAATTCTAACGTGTCCGACCCATCTGCCCACTGCTACGATCTTCACAAGATGCGCTAGAAACTCGGTCGATCTGCCCAGATAGGATACTTTAATCATTGTGTGGACCACGTTTTACGCGTACCAGCCACTCGCGGATGTTTCAAATGCTGCAAAATGTGGTAATGATGAGAATAATGCTCAGCAAATGCAATGCTCTATGAATCTTAGGTACCTTCATATAGCAAGACTATCGTATAATATCCGAATTGCGGCATCTTACTTGCGGAATTTAGGGAAGTCATGCGACCCCTTCGGGCCATATTTGCTTTGGCCTTGTCATTCCCCAACTGTTCTCCCCTCTTTATACGTTGCGAATAGTGGCGTACGAGTAGTTGACTACCTAGGTAAACAATAAACACCAAATGTGCCTCAGATATATGGTATAGCCATAAGATGACAAACACTCTTAGACGAATATTTCAAAAAGTATTAGATCCTCCCGTGTAGATTGCGTTTGAATATCTTTGTCGCATATATAAATTCATTTTTATATATAAATAAAAGCAAATGATCACCTTTGGCGGAACATACTACCCTCTCTCTTGAGTTGCCGGACATCACCTTTTAATCCAAACCCAAAATGCACGTCACCTCCATCCCAAACCCTTCTTTCGGGATACCTCATATCCTCCTGTAGAACTCCATGCTCGTTCGCTCTATGGACAATTCCGTAGCCGACCTTCAAATTCTTAATATCCCGTGGCAGTTCGCCTCGATCCTCTCCGGCCCAGCCAAGTTTTTCTAGAGCCGGTCCTCGGGTTGCTGCTACGATGCTGGAAAAACGCGTACTCCGCAGCACTCCCTCATTTTCTAAGATTGCGACGGCACCCGATCCTACCCCAGCCGCGGCCAGTAAGATGGCGATGCTGTACACGATCCACAAGTCCCGCGCGTGATAGTTATACCTATTCTCCAGCCGGGACCGGACGCACGGGTACTTGGTCGATTCGTCTCCCGCGCCTGTGCCGGATATCACGTCCGACTTAGCTGCCCAAACGACGCTTACAAACTGCCGGTTCGAGAAAAACGAAAGTATCATGTCTTCGTAGAATTCCTGCACTAAAGTCGGAAGTGTCGGGAATGCGAAATAGTCGCGCCTAGGATCCAACAGCTTGGTTTGATCCGCCTTCGTGTTTCCAATTGGATTATTGAGCTGCGCTGAGTCGATAGTGCCGTTTATGAATTGCCTCAGCTGGGAACCTATCGAGTGGAACGCTGCAACTCGGCGGTACTGGTGAACATTTCTCGGGTATATATAATTGCTTTTAGGCTGTGCCGTGGTATTATCATTCGTACCATCGTTTGCGTCCGTACCTTGGATCCATGTAGTGCTAGATGCTGTCAGCATTCGTATTGCTGCCTCTAACCACCAGTCTGCCCATGTGGTCATCCTACCGAGGCGTAAATACCTACTCTATAATGCGGCGTAAAAATCTCCGCTTCGTTACGTTCGTAACCTGCTGGCCGCCTGTGAGGTTAAACAGGACAGTGTAATCTGCCTCATAGTGCTCGCATCCGATTACCTTGGGGATGAACGCATCGCTCCAACCCGGCATTGATCTGTTGAGAGGTACCACATCGTTCGGGTTAGTTCTCACAGAATATCCTATCCATATCACCGGTTCAGTACGGAACGCCCCTAAAGTTTCCGGAAATGGGGGCTCCATATTCGGAATTCCTCCGGGGCTGGTATCTTTCATCTGCTGGATGGAATACTCGCCGCCGCTCGTGTAAGCGTAATAGCTATAATTACCTTCGGGGACAAGAAGTTTGGTGCTGAACCCCTCCGGAGGCTTCTGATTCCCAAGCGTCTTGATTTCTGATCCGATGCCACTGGCCAGTTCAGAACACTTATATGCCGGAGCTGTGAAGTTGATAGTGTACGTACAATTCCAACTGGAGCCGCAAATCTCGACGCTGGTGCTACTCTTACTCACCACCTGGCCCATAAACGCCGCATGGGTTGCAACCCGGATTAAGGGGTTGCTGGGCCCGGTATAGTAATCGAACCAGTCCAGCGAGGTGGTATCGGAAGCTGTCGTATTCCATATAGACATCGACAAGCCATATAGACTATCAGACTTAGTAGGGTTCCTCCATTCCTATAGACTTTCTTAGATGCAAACAGGAAGAAATCACCACATGTAAAAAGAAGCTAGTCACCTCAAGTTCGTCTTTCGTAAAATTCAGGGTTCGAATGCCCGAGCACGTAGTATTCTCTACGCCCACAGCTGTCTCCACGGTCAAAGTATTGCTAGTCAATATTATGACTATAGGTGTTAGCCAAACAAATGCCGCTAAGAGCATAGCTATCTTGGCTTGCTTGTATATCTCGATATTGAGGAGCGCCGACGCATCCTCTGCCGCAGCAAATAGGGAATCCAAAGCCGTCACGCTGAGGAATTTACTCCTCACAGTAGTCCATATTCGCTGTTTAAAAGCGACGACTACAGCTGCTACAAGTCCGGCTTTGGCCGCGAATGAAAGTACTGTGCCGTACCGAAGCATGGCGAGTTGGTCGACGGCGGGCTTCCCGTTCAAGGTTATATAGAATATGTGGTGGCCAACGGCGCAAGCGACGCCAAATAGAAATGAAAGATACATAAACCATGCTGGCCTCCAATGCCACCATCTCCTAGGAAGATCTATCATCGAAGAAAAAGGGGGCGGCGTTCGGGGGCTTCTCCAAACCGTGCTCGGTGTGTTCAATAGATTTGCACTAGAATCTGCAAAGCGGTCTTGAAACCCGTCGCGAGGAGAGAAGGTAGATTGCGAGTACGTAACTGGGGAGTGATGATATATAGGCACATCTTCAAACTGCATTGGAGTTGGCCTCGGCCGGGATGCTCGAGGAGGCTCTGGGGATTTGAACATATTATCTGGTCCCGTATATGTATATCTATCGGGAGTATCTGAAGCCAAATTTGGGGTCATTATGAATGATTGAGAGCCGATGTCACCGTCATCGTACCAGTTTGATCTTGAGGTCGTTACTGATGGACTAGGCGACCTAGTCGCACCCATGATAGGTAGCTCTTCTCGCGACTCGGGCGATGCGGAGGAAGGATAAATGGGGGCAAAGGTACCATCGGGTAGAGGTTTAGAGGTGAAAAGTATACTGTCGCTGGCGATTCGATGATGGGTGGCCGTCAGTGTTGACGAAACTGGCCTTCTCATATTCGATCGTTTGCCATGTTGAGGCTGAACCGAAGGTTGACTAGCCCAGTCGCTAGATTCATCCATATTCAAGACCGCTTACACGTAGTTTAACGAGAACCGGAGGAGAGGTTGAGCCACCATTATATCATCAATACAAGAGCAAGTTACCAATTAGCACTTCTGCTGATAAAATATGATGAGACAAAATGCAAATACTGGCTGAAGACGGTCGTCCCCACAAGCAGCCCGGAGCTTAGCTTGATATTGGAACTATAGCATAACACAAAGATACCCGGTAAGTTTGTGTACGAAGTAGAGGCTTCTAGGACAAAGGCAAATTTCTATTTTTATATATAGGTAGGTATATTTGATAACGGGTGTTGCGCTGTAACCATATCACGAAATGTAAGTCCCGGTATGTCATACAGCAGCCCACTCTAGTGACAAAACCACCACTGTTTGCTCTCACAACGTGGGAAAATATGTCAATAGGCAAATCATCCAAAGCCCGACGACTTGGAGAGTCCTGAAAAGTCCTGGAGAGGGCTCCGCCCATAGTTACCAATAGCGGCCCCAGCGACACCCGATTTAAACGCCAAGAAAGAAGGAATACTCTAAATTCTTACTGAGGCTTGAACATTAAAAGTAGATTTGCCGTGATAACGAAACTCCGTAATCATAGCATGTGCGGCTGAAAGGTCTTACCCCCCCTCATTTCGGGATACCTACGTCGATCAGATTCCACTCATGACAACTTTGAGCAGGTGATCAACAGGCTCAATAGGAAATAGCACGAGGCTTTGGGTTGGGTTAGTCTTCATAAATCGGCTCCTGATATGACATGTTACGAGGATTCCATGATATAGGAAACGGGAAACACAAGAACGGCCCGAGATATCGATGCTCAAGATACAATACTCGTTCATAATTGTAGGTAACTTGGCCAAATGAGGTAGATACTTGCTTAAGGCTGTCGTTAAGAGTTAAGTCTAGGTACATAAACTCCATCGGACGCACGCGAAGACGAGCTTATTCGAGCGACGTTTTAACTGTAGGGATACTACGCCTTTCTTATTATGTCATATTTAGTCGTTCACATACTTCATACCCGCATTACCATAGTACAGGTCTTACGTACTTGCTTGTATATCGTGCCTTTCATAGACGGCATTTTTCAATCCAGTAGTACGGCAGCGTGCCCGAAGCTCCTCGATACTGATTAGAGGTCGCGGACTTCCCACGCTACGACGCAAATAGTGGTACACGCGCCACGAAGAAGAAGCCAAAAGATGATTTAGTTGTATGAGGCCTGGTTGGTAAGGAGGACCTAGAGACGCGATGTCTGTGTATAACAGCATTACTAGAATATAATTTTTGTGAGCTAGAGGTCATCTCTGACGGATATTCTTAGGCTTCCGCTTCTTGAAAACTACCGTAGATGGGCCGTTCTCCGCCTCGTCTTCTTGCTTAACTGGGGTATCTATATGACTTTCTTGGGGCTCGGATTTAATAGACCATAGAGCTTCTCCGTCAGTCGTTTCCTCCTTTTTTATACTGGGTAATGGATTTTCTTTCGTCTCGCTCGGTAGATTGGCCTTCTCTTCACTAGGTTGCTGAGGATCATCCTCGGACTTGGGTGGTTTTGTCAGAGCACTGCTGAGTAGAGCATCTAGCTCCGCGTCGTCCTCCGGAGCGTGTTTCGTATCGCGACCCCATTTTTTAGGCTTCTTGAATAGGCTCTTGATTGCCTTTTCCTCCTCCTCCTCGTCTGCTTCACCCTCAGGCTTCGGTCGCTTTCGAACGCCAGATGCGATTGCGTCAATGTTCTGCGGTTTGGTATCCGAGTCGTCTACCTTGGGTGTGTCGTCGATGATCCTCTTGCTCGTGACGGTCCATTCGCCAGCCATAGCCATTTCCCGTCTTAGCTCAGTTGGTACATCAATACCCATCTCCGCTAGTTGTTCCCATTGCCTTTGCCGCTGAGGACCGGCAGCTTGCGTCGGCGCTTGCGATGAAGCCGAACTCGGTATTCTGCTGGTACTTGCGACATGATGTTGTTGATGATCCGAAGATACGGATGATCCGACTACACCATTAAGTCTCTCGATCTCGCGCTTGGCGCGATCTTTTTCTCGTTGCTCTTGCTCATGATTACGGTGTATGTCTCTTAGAAAACGCTTTAAAGCTCCTTGGTGCTTCGCGGTAGCTTCGTGGTTTTGACGTTCGAGTTTGGTATCGCGTACGTAGGTGCTGCAATGCTTACACCAGTATTTGGGAGTAGATTTCCAGTATTCGGACATTATGATGGTGATGTGTGATAGGTGACGATTGTAAGGAGACAACAATTGCGATGGGTTTGGATGGCTTGGATGGCCTCGGGATGATGTACGGAATAGAAGGTATTCGGTACCTAGGTACGTTCCAAGGACGTGACGTACCTTATTGGTGTTATCGATAATCATTCAACGGGGCTTGGATACACTAGTATGTACCTACGTACCCCTATATCCTCCCTGTCTCCATACAAGCGCCTCCACTGGCTCCAACACCATAAAAGCATTTCTATCAAACATCATTATTGTTTCCTAGTAGAATTCTTCAACTGTCAATTAACATGCTATGTCGCAGAATAATTTACAGATACGGGTGTTTGTCGTTTTACCATACCATCCACCGATCTGCTTCTATAACCCTGAAACTATTTACGCCTTTTAGATAGGTAAATAGTTCTTTTTTGGGAGAGGTAAGATGCAGCCAGTACGTCGATACAAAGACACTTAAAGGGGACGATCTGATATTAATATGCCATGGGCTTTTTGTATTATGTCCTGACTGCTATGTTACTTTTCCTTGTATTACTCCTCATTTCCCTCGTCTCACATTAACTATCCTGCCATCTCACGATGGGGCATACATTACTTCCGACCTCTATCGGCTTTCCGTGCTAAAGCAATCCCAGTCACTTTACAATTCATATTGCTATGTTGTCCTGTTTGATGAATGTATCAGACAGGTGTACCGGTTGTAGTTACAGGTAGAAACAGGCGACCATGGCAGTGAAGACCAGGGCACCGATAGATCCGACCGAGACGCGAGAAGATCCGCTCTGGGGCGGTGCCGTAGTCTCGCTTGGGGCACTGGGGCTCGGCGACGATGAGCTAGCCGGAAGGCTAACACTGGCGCTGGAACTGACACTCTCGCTTACGGAGGTGCTTGGTGTACTACCGCTGCTACTGCTGGGCGCCGGAACTGAGGGCGCAGGTGCCGAGGGCGCAGATGCCGATGAGACGGGGACCGAAGGAGCAGGTGGTGCAGGTGAACCAGGTGTGGGAGTGGCTGTCGGGGTAGCCGGTGGAGCCGGAGCGCTGCCCGGCGGCGTGACTTGAACCTGACCATCCGTATACTCGCTCACGGGCACATACGTGCTGGTTGGGCTAGAGGTTATCGAAGCGCAAGGCGTTGTCACTTGTTGTACTTGGCCATCACCGATCTGGCAGATTGGGACAGGGACTGAGGTTGTGATAACCTGCGGCTGGCCGTCTGGCAAAGCGGTGACGATAGTAGTCTGAACAACGCTGGTGCCAACAACCTGACCATCGGGAATCTGAGAGGCTGGGTCATCTGAACCGCACGGGACGGCGATTATCGAAACAGGCGAGCATTGGGGGGCCCAGTCACGATCGTAGAGATTATAGAAGTCGCCTGATAGGCATCGGTAGAAGGTCTTGGAGTCTCCCAACGCGAGGATGTTATTCTCACAAAGAGAGAACCCATTGGTGTAGAGAGCACCAGCTTGGGCAGGGGCATCGAATTGAAACTGGAAGTTCGACGCGATGTAACCGGTTCGATCTTTGGCATCGAAGGTTGAACCATCCTTCAGCGTCAATACAAGGACACCATCGCTGCCGCACTCGGCGCGCTTCTGTTCTAACCATTAGCGGCTGTTATCTGTTTTCGAATCGAGACTCGGCTATGAGTTCAATGCTTCTCTCTATACATACCTGAGGCTGGGAAATACCTCGCTTCTCGGTCACCTCTGCGACGCTGATCTCAAACTTTCCGTCAAATGTACCGGTGCAGCCAGCCGGTGCAGCGCCGGTAGGGGTCAACTTGTTGGTAACACCCTGAGGAGCCGCAATAGCGGTGCCCAGGAGTGCAGAAACAAAAGCGAGCGTGAATCGCATGTTGTAAATGTGTGGGCAAAATATCCCTTAACGATTGGCAGTGTATGTTGACGATGTTGACGATAGGTTGGTATTGATACGTGCTTGGAGGAGTGCTGGATATTGTACAGGTCGGTTTTAGTAGCGAATGACTTTTACCTCCAATGTTTCACTCGTCGAATCTTGCCTCTCATCCAACTCTTATTACGGCACCTGTTCTGAGTAGCGAAGGGATGAAAAGGAAACAAGGTGGAATATCAGAGGGGAAGGGGGAGATCAGCCCTTTTCACTTTGCCCTGTTGGTCCTCATCAATGCCAGGAAATGTATATGCCTAAATCTCATTTGTTGGAATTTACCCTCCATGCCTAGACGTACGTACTCCACGTACGTACCAAGTTACATGCGTATCCGGCGTCTCATTGTCTTCGGTTTGCATATTGGACCCAAACAACACTGCAGGTAGACTAGATGTACGCAGCACCTACCCTGGTTCGCCCCCAACCAGGCTTTGCATGATCAAAGGAACCAAGTTCCGTACGCTACGTATCTATCTACTTGAATGTATCTGTAGTCGATCTCTCTACGTTTTAGGTACCATGTGATAAGAGATGCGTTTTAATTTCGGTATCTGGAAGTTTTTTTCAGTCGAAGATATGGTACTCCATTCCTACTACCACTCCTTTTTAAGGAACCCAGTGCACACGGCCTAGCTACTTGCTCTCGGTTAAAATAAATTCAGGGGCAAAAGGACCTGCTATTGTGGACTTTCAACTCTCCTCCGTACCTCATACATTAGAAGATATATGTGTACATTCCATATCTTGACTACATTGTCGATCCGTCGGCGAACAAGGTAGTAGCGCTTTTCATACATGTACAAAAAGTAGTGAACCATAGCTACGGATCATATGAGCTTGCATACCTGCCTAAGGAGGTAGGTAAGAAGAATTACTGCCTTACACAACCCGACTAATATTTATGGGTGTTACTACATAAACCACTTCTGCAAGTGACCTCCGCCTCATAGTTATATTTCGCATCGTACTGCCGCGGATAAAGTGGTGGAAGAGCTGAATTAAGGAGAAGAAAAACGCCGAAGTTTCTTTGTGAGACATACTTCTTTAAGCATAAAGTGGCTTGTGATCAGCTTAAAAACTTACCATTTCTACATATTATCCCATGTGGTAAGTGGTGATATTGTTCCTATTTCAGACATGAAATACCAGGTGGATATCTCTTCACCATGACTTCTGGGATTAAAATCAAGCTTCTTCCCCTGGGAGACGCCAAGACTACAACCCCAGACGCCAACCACCATCTCCCACCCAATGACGGCAATCGAATGTTAGTAGTACGTAACATAGATCGGAGATGATCTTTCCTACCTCTAGCAGCTCTTGTGACCCACTGGGCGCGTAGGTGGGGAATGGAAAGCGGAGGTTGTGCTGGACGTTTTGGGTCTAACATCAATTCATCATCGTGACGTTCAACCCACTTATTAATACTTCTTGTTAATAGACATGCCTATTCCTTCATTGCTTGCCCTTATTATAAGTTAGTTTCTATTAGACATTGCGTAGAATTATAATGACAAGCCCTAGCCAGAGATCTCCCAGCATTCAACTAACTCCGTATGTAGACCAAGACCTCAATTGCGTAGGTACCCGGGTTCTTATGAGATTGGTACCTAATACCCGAGTCGACAGCAGAGTATTGATTCCGATCGGGAAGGACTAGAGAGGCAATGCCCCCATAATTGCACAGTCTGGAGAAAGGGGAGCAGAAGGTGAGCATGCTTATCAAGTCTCAGACAGTACTGTGTACCTTAGGAAGTAGGTAGGTAGGTAACTATGAGGGCAGTTTGTTACTTGGAGGGTAACGAGAACAATCTGGATAGACGCGAATGTAGCCGTGAATGAAAAAAAAAATCTGAGAGAATGCAACCCTCCACTGGAGCTAGTGGTCCAACAGATAACCTAGGCATGCAAGAATGGGCGACAATATTGGCCGGTTGGAGACGGATTTCCCTTTTTCCTATTGGATATACGTTCCAACCTCAAAGATTTGGGTCACATCTTCAAAGATAAGACAAAAGAGACAACAAATGTAGGACGCAGGGGTATTCGCTGTAATGTAGTGCACAATATGCATAACTTGGTCCTCCCCGGCTCGGCTCGGCAGGGGGGACGAGGGAAATGCAAGCATGACAGCCATGATGGCGTATGCTATGTACAAAGCCATTCCATACGAAAGCGATGAATGGCCAGTTTGAAGTTTGAACTGGCCATTACAACCCAACCCAACCTCCTCAATATCAAGAACCACAACAACAAATTTTTATGGGTTGCAAGACAGACTTATCCCCAGCATAGCCGTCGATCCTACCCTCCACTGCTACATATCCTGTCAATGCTTTCGAACAATGACATCAGGATAACTGATGTTAGCTATAAACAACCATTATCGGTTCCCTCAGCCTCCGCCGTTCCGTCTTTGTTCAGTTGAATTTATTCAATTTCTCAAGTTATTTCGCTTACCTCATATGGCATTTATTCGCATGTGTACCTAATAAGACAAGCCTGCAAGTCGTAATCATCATAGCAATTGCGAGCACTTCTCAAAGCGTCGGTTTGTAAATTGGATTCTGCTACCAACTTCTTATTGCTAAGACGTAGCAGGTGTAGAAGGCATACATACCTAGCTTTACAGTGCCGATGTAGCTATATCCGGTAGCCTCTAGGAGGACACTGAAAAAAACAATCATTCAGGGGGAATCATCTATGTGTAAACAACTGTAGCCACCGCATCCCTCCCATTCTTCGTTCACTCATATGACCTCATCCAATCATATCCATTGCCGTTTTCCAGGAGACCCTTTTTCATTTAAACCCGTTTCGCGTAACCACCCTTATTTAGTTAGGATGCGTACCATATCCTGCACCACCTCTCTCGTTTCCGGTTCGAGCTGTCCCTCCGGCGGTCCGAGGACTTGCTGGAAGACATTAAGCAACTTCGGCGTCAGTTCTTGTACCGTTGGGTTGGAGAGCACGTCTACAAGATCATAATTAGTATATAATATCCTCAACGGTCCTCAACGGTATTTTCACTCATAGCGACCTATGGTTGGATGTAACACTTACATAGTTTGTGCAGGCACTGATACACAGGCTTGTTTTCCTCATAGTCCTCCTTCAGAGGGAGTAAATCGACAAGAGCAGGCAGTACGTCTGCGATCGGGATCTGGTCAGGATGAGCCAGTATCATACGGCACAGGCATCCAGCGGCGTTGTCCTGCAACCGAGCGTCCTTGATTTGTAGCAAGGGCTCCAATTTCCCTAGAATTTGGTTATAACTTGGTAGGTAGGTTGTGGCATCCTCGGAATGGTAGATGAGTTGGCCGGTTGCGTACGCCGCGTTGGACTTGGTCTCTTTATCCTCGTCCGATAGACGATGCAACAGTGGGCGTAACAAAGTCGAGGTATAAGGCGTCACAGCACTTCCCATATATGCGACGCATTCGGCTACGACGCCCACAGCGGTTGACCGTTCGATGGCTTCGTTGGAGCTCAGAAGTTTGATAAGGGGCTTCTCGAAAACCTTCCAGACCTCGGCAAACTGCGGGCCTAGGGCACAGGCCAGGCCGATCAACACGTCCAAGGCAGTGTCGACTACAAGCCAATCCCACTCGGAACTTCCTTGAGCTTCTTCCTGGTCGTCTTCCTCGCCAAGATCCAACTGACAGGGGTGCGATCGAGTAATGATTGTGCCAAGTATGGTAACGATCTGCTCCATCATGTCCTTCTGTCCCAGTATGGCGGGACCACAAGTCTTTAGTGTGGAGGCGACGCTGCGGTTGATTTCCGTAACCGCATCCCTACTAAATGTTAGCATCCGCTTTGCATGCATGCATTATCAAAGGCTAAAATGTATGTAGCGACGGTTTAAATCAGATCTTGTTCAATACGTGTTCTCAGCAACCGCATATAGCGTCTGAGTGAGCTGGGTATAACGTAAAGTAGTCATCATTGGAACCGGGGTAGGAAACAGTAGTCAGCATGAATAGGGGATAACTCACCGGTCAGCCTCATCGGGCCAGATGTGTAGCGTAGCGGTAGATACGATCTCGCCCAGTTTAGCGATATTGGGAACCGGCTCCGTCTTGAGAGGGAAGCCAGGCTCCCACTTGCAGCCGGTCTGCTTCTCCATGACTTCCCATACGCATGCGTAGGTTCGCCACAAGGTCCCAATAGCATTCTTGCGGCATCCCTCGTACGTGTGTTCGGCAAAGGGAGCCACAAGCTCTATAGCCTTTTCAATGTAGGGCGTACTCTTCTCTTTGGCGGCGTAGATGACGTCGCCTAACACTTCTAAGGCGATTTCCTTCTCGAACGCCTGTGCGGACACGCCGACAAGATCATCCCAATCATCGTCGTCATCATCATCATCCATGATATCCTCATCGTCTTCATCCGCGTCTTCGGGGCCCTTGACCTTCAACTTTTTGCCATGTAAGACGACTTCTTCGTCAACAAGGCCATCCTGATCTTCTGGGAGGTCAAGTTCAACATCCTCCTCTTCTTGTTCGAGGCTGTCAAATAACCCTTGGAAAATTCCCGCGAGGGATTCGCCGAGGTCTCCTTCATATACCGTAGCCAATTGGCTCCATAGTATGAATGTAGTTTCTCGGAGGCGGGGATTGCCCAGATGAAGAGCCTTTTCACTAGCGACTAGCAACGGCATAACGTACGGGCTAAACTCTTGTGCGCCAACGCCAACGGCGATGCGGCCCATGGCGTCGCAGACTGAGCTCCTTAGGGTGAGCTCTTCTTCGCCACTCTCGACCATAATATAGGACGACATCGCTTCCATAGTTTGCTTGAGGTAGGGGATAAAAGCTGTCTTAATAGAGGCAGCGATCGCACCAAGCGCACCCGCTGCGGCAGACTTAACGGTGAGGTCAGGGTGTGATAGGAATGTTCCAATACGATGTATCATGGCCTCTCCATATTTGGCCATGATGTCCGTCCCTAATCCTTCGGCCATAGAGTCCATGGCACCACAAACGGATCGGATGATCTCGACATTCTTGCCGTCTGATTCATTGCCGCTGGTAGCGTCTAGGTTCATAACTAAGGCGGTCATGATAGCGTCATGATAGGGGGACATGGTATCGGACAGATCCTCGCCCAGGCGTCTAAGACCTTGGAGCGCTGCATGGCGAACACTTTGTACCGGATCTTTGAGAAGATTCAAGACCGTAGGCATAACTGACGCCACCTGTGTGGATACGAACTCAGGGGCACCTTCAGCACACGTACCAAGGGCAAGGACACATGCCTTGCGTTGTCCCGGGTTCTGGGAGTTGGCATACGCGGAAAACTCATCCAGCAAGGGTACAATAACCTGTCTCGGGGGTAAATCGGTAGCCAACTGATCTATCAGAGATAGAGCCGTTCTGGCGGGGGTTGTATCTTCATCGTCGTCATCATCCGCCAGTTCTGATAAGATTACCAAACTCTTCTTCATGAGTTGCGCACCCATATCAGGAATGCCTTGGATCTTCATCCGACGGTACTTGGCACATTGTGCAAGGAAGGAGATTGCCTGGACTCGCACGTCATCCTCGGCGTTGGTGTTAATGGCCAAGTCAAGCATAAACTGGACCAAATCCTTGAAGTAACGAGATATTAAAGCGGGATCATAGGCCAGGAAGGATTGGAAGACTTCGAAGGACTGTTGTATTCGCTCGTCATCACCACCGTCAACAGCTTCTTTGAGGACGTCAACCATGACAGGAACAAACTCCTGGACGGTATTGACGGACTGTTCATCGTCGTCGCAGTCGATCAGCATTAACAGGGCACTGATAGACTGCATAGTATTGACTCGCACGTCACGGCTCTGGGGATCTCGAATGGTCTTAGTGAAAAGCTCAAACAGAGTAGGCAGGTGATCCTCAAAGTAGGCAGGGTTCGCCTCTAAGAGACTGAATATAATGTAGGAGCCGACCTCCCGATGGGCAACATTGTCAGAATTGGTCAGTTGCATGACGGACGGCAGCAGGTCACCCCATTGCTCATTATTGAAATCGAGTGTTGCTAAGGCAGCAATGATACGGGATTGGCCGTGGCGGCACTTCGCGTCCTGTTCTCGGACGATAGCTTGGAGAAGCTCATTGCGCACAGCAGGCTTCTGGTCGTCGGCAATCTTCTCCCAATGCTTCGGGACGAGTCGCAAAGCCTGGACAGCAGCCAGCATGCGGACAGTCGCCTCGGGATGGGAAACAATGACATGGAGAAGGCCGAGCAGAGACTCCGGGTGAGGGTAGAAGTTCTTGCGAAGCTCAGCGGTTGCGGCCTTGACCTTCTGCGTATCGGCTGTGAGAATAAAAAAAAATCAGGTTAGCACTTCTGGAACAGATACCTAATTCCCAGCTCTAACTATACGGAAATTTGTTTGGATATGCATATATACAAGCTTCATAAAAACTTACGAATTTGAGATGCTTGGAGCAGCTCGACGAGCCTTTGCTGATCCATGATGAAGAGAACCAACGTCGAAGTTCTGGCGTTTCTCGAAGGTGCAGATTGGCGCAGAATTTCAGAAAGTGTTAGAGATAATAAGGAAAGAGAATGGACTGGGTTACATCGACGACCTTAGGTCTACGATGGTCCTTGGCCCAACTTCTAATTCCTTTTCTAACGTGACTCGTTCGTGGACGATGGAGGATTGGGCAACAATAAGGATTGAAAAGTTCGAAGGGGAAAAAAAATTATTTAAAAGCATTTTTTTTATTTTGTTAGGTGGGGTCTGTCGCATGGAAATTTTAAAATTTTAATGGGGACCTCTGATAAGACGCGATAAATGATTCGCTAGCCAAGCTGCAAAAGCAGAAAGGGTACTTGACCCCTCTGTCTTATTCCTCTGCCCCTCCAAAGTCCCCGAGTCTCGGTAGTAATCTCCTAGATGCATAAACTCTAGTAAGAGGTATTGTACCTGAATTACCTAAGGTGATAATAGGTCTAGTAGGTACCTACCTGTAGTGGAATTGATGATAGAACAGCCTCAATGTATGTATGAAATTGCTATCCTCTTGAGTCTCAAGAGAATTCCGGTCTTGTATAAACTCTATGTTTATTTGACGCCTATAATTACAAGTAACCTAAGCCCTATTGCTGCTTGTTCTATGCTTAAAACAAGGTACAGAAGATGTCTAGGCAAGTAGCAAGTGTGTAAAAAGATATATATATATATAAACCTAAGCTTTGTCAAGTTATGATGCCAGACATCAAAATATCTTCAAACTTAATAACCCGGGATAATTCAGCATTCACTTACGGTATGCTACTCAAGAGCCTTCTCGGTGCTCTAAATTCGACGGCCGTAATATCGTAAAAGTGATCAAGCCGCAGGGCTGCAATTTACCGCTTGACTCATTAACATTTACTACTTTGACGGGTGATAGTTAATTAGCGTTGCTAGCTCGGACACGAGGAAGACGAATGGAGGCAAGGCGGCCCCTTGGAGCTGAAAAGAGGCATCCTCTTGGCAGCGAGCTGAGGGTCTCCCACAAGTTCATCCAGGGCGACTTTCTCATCTTTCTTGTAACTAAGTAAAATCAGCGCGAGATTCATCAACTTTCAGTTCATTAGGTACTCATACCCGAAAAAAGGGGAAAGAAAGAAAAGCTGTGAATCATGAGGCACGCCTTGCCGTCATTCTCAATCCAGCTGGGACTATTTCTCAATGTTTTAGCTTCCAAGCTCATTTTTCAGCCCTTCCCTACGCAGGCTCAAGACGGCGCGTTTGCAACCCTACAGCCTATATCTACCGCGGCCCCAGAGTACTACGCGTCAATTGAACTACTAGGGCGCGACGAATACCACCTGGGTCATGATACATGCGGGTTTGGCTCTTTGGACAGTGAGGAGGCTAAGTTCCTTGATTGATCATTGGGTATAGACCATAGCTAACTTGACTCCGTAGCTGGACTTACTTATACTTGTTACTCAAGTATTGGAACATGCGAAAACATTGGCAACTTCAGGGGATGCTGTACGGGGGAGCTGAAGGCGTGTTCGTCGAGCTTCTGGACAAAGTGCGATGATTATAACCCGACGAGCTACTGCGATATATATTCAAAGACGCGTTGCTGGTGAGTACCTAGGTACTTACCCGTATGATTATCCCCTATCATTCCTGGATCCTGACTAACACCGTCCACATAATAGCCAGTCCGCACTACCATACTGCATAACCTGGTTATTCTCTGTAAGTATCAAGGTCAACCCCGTAAAGTGGACTACGCCCATGGACTTCTGATTCCATATAACCACACCGTGATCTCTATGGTGTTCATCAAGACACGATATGCTAACCTGATGGTCGAAGACGAGTAGTTCAACCTTCACAGCATGGGACTGTGATACGCAAAGTAACACCCGGGTTCTTGAGCTCCTGGCTACCCCCTTAAGTCTCATTAGTAGCACAGCATCGCGAACCGTGACGGATCTATCTACTACGACCTCCATAATGTCTTCTACTATTTCTTCAGCGAACGAGTCCACTGATTCGCCTTCTACAGCCACAGGCGGGTCTATCGTTTCATCCTCAACGCCGATAGACGCCACTTCTGTATCCTCCAGTAAAAGTTCCGAGACTCCCATTGGAGCTATTGTCGGCGGCGTCGTAGGTGGCATCGCTATAATTTGCTTGACGATCCTAGGCGTCTTCCTTACTAAAAAGTACCAAAAGGTTGCCCGCAGAGCAGCATCGCCGCCACCTACGCCTTCCGGACGCCAGGAACTTTCCGGCTTTGGAATTTCTCCCGCCTATTTGAGTCCTTCCCAGGGTAATCACGCCCCTGGCTTACCGTATGGCACTTTAGAGCAGCTTAAGAATCAAGGTTCGGTGGCGCATACAACAACCACTCTTGTTGCTGAAGCACCAAACACTCCCGCAACTGGAACCGGCCACAATCGAGCTGAACTGGGATAACGTTACAAGAGTTGCAATCGTAAGATTTATATTTTACACGGACATGGTTTCGTATATAGAAAAACATTGTATGAAATGTGGTGGTATATGATCCATCCCCAGGCGAGGATGTAGAAGCAGAAATCTGCATACTAAGTGATGGTACGGCCCCTTGAGCCAGCTTGATAGTTGAGAGACAGTGTTTTGTCCTTTTTGTGCATACTTACCTAGGTACCTACCTACCCTAGGTAGGTATTATGATGGAAGAGTTTGAGTGGAATTCTCAAGGTCCAAGACCCTATATTCAGTTGATATATTAGATTTAGGTAGAGGTACCTAACCTTAGATAATAGGTACCTACACGAATTTAACTTGTTTCATCTCAGGGCAAAAATCGTTTACGAAAATGCTAAAAATATTGTGCACCTTCTCTACCTGTAATATGGTTTCGAACTTCACGGCATTTTAACCTCCTTACTTGCTGAAAGTGGGTAGGTATGAACCATGACGAGTTGAGAAACGTTAATTGTCAGTGCAAGAAGGCAAGTAAGAGACTACTTTTGGATATACAGGGTTGAGTGTATGTGGTTTATGGATGCTTAGAAGGTTACTTGATATTCATCATTATTAAGGCCAATATATTATCCCAATCTGCCTACATTGTTCGGAGCAATACAACCAATAAGCTTCCTCGTCGCTAAATTCCAGTCTAGTCGACCTCTACTACTTCTCTGTGATATAATCTCTGGTAGCTTACCTTTCAGCCTAAATTTCACCGTCTGATTAAACATCAGCTTCATTTTCAGAGGCGGTCTAAAAACCAGAATGAAGAAGCACTCAGGGAGGAAAAAGGCGGTGGTCGACTATAGGCACCGTTGGCCGACTCAACAGACACTTTACGAGCCTCGAGAACCCCGAGAGCAAGATGTCAAGAACAAGTCGAAATCTCGAAGGGTCAAGGCATTGGAGGCAATCTCGACCCCCCTATCGTGGATTAACATGAAGATCGAGTCTTAGCAAGACGGTATTGACAGTTACGTAGACGCAATAGAGTCGCAAAGGCAGAAAAGGGCGAGTGTATCGACGTCGTCCTGTAATGCTAGGACACGAGACCCCATGCCCGCGAATGCTAAGCCCGGTAAGAGCACGCACCCATATGACACTGGGATTGGAAATACAACTGCAACGAGCATCAGAGACAGTAGGCCGCCAACACCCGCGTCTCATCGTACAAAACGAGCCGACAATTCCGTAGGACAGACGCCACAGACAGCAGCCGACCAGTTGCGAAAAAATAAGAGAGTAAATTCGGCTTCTAGCATTCGAAACAAGATACCTAGCCACCAGCCCTCGAACGAACACGGAATCAAATTTAGTAGTATCCTAGGTTTGCGCAGTAATAGGAGGAAGTTGCCAAATACCAGTCCTTCTGAGGTCGCGTCAACTCCCCCTGGTCAGCTGTCTAGGAAATCAGAGCCCCACGCAGAAGTGACCCGGCGAGAATCTTGGTGGTCCCTCAAAAGGCGGGCGAGCGTATATAACGGAAGTAGAGACACAATATCCGGTCGAGCAAAGAGGTTGGGCGATGAAGAGCATGGGAGTAACCTAGTAATGACGTCGAACTCACGGACACGGAGTACTGGCATGAATAATCGGGAAAGTAGATACTTACGAAGCAAGATCATGAAGAAGTCAGCCGAAAGTCAAGGTAGAGACGAATATAGAAACAAGGAACTAGGTATGCGACATGAAAGAAGCGTCCAGCAAGTGGAGAAAGCACACGTTGGAACGGAGAAAACGGAGAAGGATGAGTTATCTCCAGGGACAAACACGGAACTAACAAAAATACCGGGACAATCATGGCGGCGCCGAAGAAGCATATCTTCATCCCAGGCTCATACGAGCACGGCCGGTACAAGTTCCACACCTGGCAACGTAGCGACGCACAGGGATATTATTCATGAAGAGTGGAGACACCAAACTCCTTCTCCTATAGTTCCCACTCAGGTATTACGATCGCTGCTAGGTTCTAGGAAATCGCCGTCACCGAAGACGGGAACGCGGCCAGATCAAGAGGATGCGGAAATTCGTGTTTCAGCATCTATGGAACTGTTAGGACAGCGAAGTCAAGATGACCGCGCTTCTGGTAGGCAGTCGATAGAGCAGAAGAATAGGGTACGAGTTCCATTTTGGGGCTCACCTCGGTCACAGGCAGGACTCTCCCGGCACGATAATGGCAACGAGGCGTCGAGACAAAAGAACACACCGGAGCCGAGTACGGGAGACCAGGGACAAAACGCATGGGCGGGTCAGAGGAAAGTTTTGGATATAGTCTCACGTAGGAGATGGCGAAGTGGATAATAGATAAATTCGTGCCTATCCGGTGTTATCCGAGTTGAGGGTTTTAAAAGGAATCAAGAGTTGTACATGGGTTTAAGACGAGAGAGAGCGGGTGTTACAATCCGTTACGCTTCGTATACCTAAATAGTATCTTCAGTAGTGTCATCTTATTTTTCGTGATCCTACCAAAGTATTGCATGTGTAAAGAGAGAAGAAACATTGTCTGCGATGCTGACTGACGTGATTGAATGAGGTGGGGTTTTGCAGGCGTCGGCACCGCGAACGGCGAGCGAGTACCTGCCCAGCCGGCAGGTGCATGTAGATTACATACCTAACCTTAGGTGAGATACCTAAGGTAGATTAGGCTAGGTGCATATGGCGGGGCAGCGGGGCAGCGGGGGTCATTACGTAGAAGGTATAATACAATTGGTACCTAGGATATGCATTGTACATACAATACCTATATTCAGAAAGGAAGACTAAGGTATTGATAACGCGAAACAAAGAATACTTACCTCACCTAACCTATACCTAAAGTTGTAATGTTTACCTACCTAGGTAGCGGTACCTAAGGTATCATGCTGATAGATCCGGTTAACGACTAAAGAATTTGTTAGCGGCAATTTTATACTTAAGCCTCTCGTCTCGCGCTTCGTCATTTATTCCCTCCTCTTTTGCTATCAGACATATAATACTTCTCCCGCCCACGTTACGTCGTAATATCTTCCATTCGACGATCAAAAACCAAATTCAATCATATATAATAAAGATAAATTCGCATATAACGATTCAAGATGGCATCAAACCCCCCCGGAGAGTGCTGCTATAAGGGCGTCAAGCACGAGTGAGTTGACTCCCACACTTAACCGGCATATATATACAATTACCTACCCAGAACATTTATATTTTGTATCAATTTTCATTATACACTTAAAAACTAACTCGTATCGTCGTCTAGGGGCACGCCTACAGGTGCAGATATCAAGGTGGGCGAACACCAAGCTTACTTGGCTACTCCTGAGCCCTCTGCCGCCAAAGATGCTGCAATCCTATTTATCCCCGACGTCATCGGCATCTGGCAGAACAGCAAGCTCCTTGCTGACCAATTCGCCGCTAACGGCTATCTGACGCTCATCATTGATCCTTTTAAAGGCGACGCCATACCCTTAAATCGTCCCGAAGGCTTCGATTTTACATCTTGGCTGGCCAAGGGTTCTACCGGTGACAACCCGCACACTACGGAGGCTGTAGACCCTATTATTGAAACTGCCATTAAGTATCTCAAGGAAGAGAAGGGCGTCAAGAGGCTGGGCGCAGCCGGCTACTGCTTCGGAGCAAAGGTACCTATTTGAAACCAAGTGGCTATTCTGCCTTATGTGTAAGTCCAAGTTACTAACATTCATTTCTCCAGTACGTCGCCCGTCACCATAAGAATGGTATCCAAGCTGGCTTTATTGCGCACCCGTCCTTTGTCGACGAGGATGAGCTTGCAGGATTCAAGGCACCGCTATCCATCGCGGCGGCTGAGACGGATCAGATCTTCCCGGCCGAGAAGCGCCACAAGTCGGAAGTGATTCTAGCTGAAGGCGGATTCCCTTACCAGATCAACTTGTACTCTCAGGTAGTCCACGGATTTTCTGTCCGTTGCGATCCCAGTAAGAAGCATGAGCGCTTTGCTAAAGAGCAAGCCTTCCTGCAGGCCGTCACCTGGTTCGACAACTGGCTGTTCTGAGCGGATGGCGAGAAGATACCGACAAAAGAAAGGCTGTGAAGGAATTTTGGGAATATTAGTGACTACAACGTAGTCGTACCTAATGTTCGTTAAGAGGTAGTCCATAGCCTAACTCGTGTAAATATTCAATTAAAATAATACCGCAGAACAATTCGGAGATTTCTGTCATCGCAACTAATCATATTCTTGCTAAGAGTCAACTTTCGCTCTCTGCTTATATTATATCTACCTCCTCCCTACCCTAAGGTAGAAAATATGTAAACTTACCCTGTAGCATTATCATCGACCTTACTCGCAGCTAAAAGTTGACTCTGTAGGCCTTTCTTCCCTACCTGCATGGCTCTCTCTAATTCTCGCTCCTCTTCTCTCAGGGCTGCCTTTCCAAGTTCTAGTTGCCTCTTTTGCTTTCGTTTTTCTTCTGCGACAATACGCTCTCGTTCTTGAAGCGCCTTTTCCCGCTTTCTCCGTTCCTCTTTCGCCTTCCGTGCTGCCTCGTCATCCTCTTCAACCCCGTCATCGGCAGGTGGCTGCCCTAAGGTCTGGATATATGCCTCTATCAAGGGGTCTCGGATCTGCGGGTCCAGGCTGATGTAGCGTAAATCAGCCAGTATTTCAGGAGGTAGGTTTTCTAGGTGGGTCTTGTTATTGAAAGAACGGAGAGGGACGCTACGTAAAAGCGTAGTTAGATCTTTTTTGAGGGTGTCTTGAGGTAACTTCAATCGATTGATATGTTCGCGATACCACTTCTCGCGGTCGCGGTCGCTCAAGTTGGTATCGCGCATAGGCGCTTCCTTCTTATACTTGCGCCGAAATTCGGGCCAGTAGAGCTTTGGCGTTGCTTTCTGTTGCAGGAATGCCAGATACGGAATGCGAGGATCCTTCTTTTCTTCTTTGGCCCGTTGCTCTTTAAGAACTTGTATTCGCTCGCGACTCCATTCTTCCCATACGTCTTTGCGGGCTTTCATCGTATTGAGCACGGTATATCGTCCGTCATCGATGATGCGACCTTCTTCGATGAGTTTCTCCCATGATGAGTAGGGATTGATGCCGTAGTCATTCAATAGGTCTTTAAATAGCTCCCTCGCGTCTGCCTCAGATAGCTGAAGACCTTCTGCACCTTCAGGCCACGCGTCGGGATTGCCGTCGTCGTATTCGCCCGGATCCAGACCGTAATCATCTCCCATTGCCTGTAACTGGTACGCAATATCGTCTTCGTTGAATTCGACGGGCACATCTTCGGTAGGCTCTTCCGTACGCTGTCGTTTCGAAGGGCGCTCACTATCTCGATCCCCCTCCTCAATTTCTCTGTCATCTTCCTCTTGCTCGTCTTCATCGTCCGTAACCTCTACTTCTTCATAGTCCGAACCTAGCTCTACTTGTTCCCCTATTCCTGCCGCGGCCTCTGCAGTAGAGGGTTTTCCTTCCGGCTCTGCGGAGGGAGATGTAGATACCTTAGCATCTGTCACTCCCGCATGCTCGCCTGTAGCCTTCTCTTTAATTCCTCTGATATCTAGTTCTAGAATACCTTTCATAACCTTCTCAGGTATCCTCCAATAGCTCGCATTCTTAACGGGATTATAAGCGAAGCGGCGGCCATACTTGGTATACACTAGCAGCCAAGGCTCACAACCTGGTATGGCAACTTTGGATTTCGGTTTGTCTATCGGCTGAGGGCGTGGTCGATCTTTCCCTTCATGATGTCCGCGGTGGCCGCCACGGCCGCCATGCTGCTGCTGTTGTATGTGACGTTGGTGTGCAGGGTCATATTGAGCGAGGAAGGCATTCGCGGTCGCGGGGTCGGAAAGCTGAGGGACGCTGGAGTACTGGAAAAAACTCGCATGAGGATCTTGGGGGAAATGCTGTGGAACGGCAGGAGTAGGAGGCAGAGGCGACGTGGACGGGCGATTATACGTGGATTGTTTTGTAGCCGCATTGTAGTAATAAGTATGACCCGTGGGAGCTTTGTGTTCTGTCCAGCCCGGAGGTAGAGGCGGTAGCTGGTTTTGAGAGGGTTTATACGTTGATTTCAACATATTATGAGGCGTCGCAGACGAACGGCGCTGTAGTTTAGGTTATATATCAAGAAAAAAAGAAGAAGAAAAGGAAAGAAAAAACACAGGGCGTATGTAATATTTCAACCAAGTCTTAATTGATATTGATAGCAAATGAAGTTTCAAGGCTCAAAACTCACCGAGGTGAAGGATCCCATTGGTTTTACATAATTCTATCGGTGGGGCGCAGCTCAGAGTTACCGATGTAGAGTTAGGTACCTAGGTACCTAAGGCAGGTAAGGGCAAATGCACTAAACGCCCGTCATCCTTGTCACAGTTAGGTACAACTCAATCTCATCTGATCTCATACTTTAGGTACCCGTAGCCTTAGGTACATTGTAGACCTCCTTAGCCTGGCACGCGACCTCAATCTTTCATCATTTTCTAGACCATCTCTTTTCACTTCAGATAAACGAATACATAATTATTCTCTTTTACTAATTCTCTTCCAATTTGTTTTGTTATATATTACCCAGGTGCTCGTTCCGATACCGAGAAATGCTGTGGGGTGTCTTCAAAGCTATACGTGGACGGTGACTTGTAGCTATCGCAGCCATGACACCGCGAAACGATTCTTTCCAACAAGGAGGAATCCTGGGATCTATAACCAGGTTCTGGACTGTACGTTAACGACTTTTTCTATTACTACCTATACCTATGCAGTCATCTCTATTAGAAACCCCCGTAACGAAACTAACCTAGGTACTCAAGCATTCATACGCCCCTGACTACGTTGGGTTCGCTGGCTTGTTAACGGCCTACCTCCTGATTCAATTTTTCGTCGAACCTTTCCACCGCATGTTTTATATCAACAACCTGAATATATCATTCCCCCACGCCGAAATCGAGCGGGTGCCAGTTTGGTTGAACTTTGTTTACGCCCTATTCATCCCGCTTGGATTTCTGCTGTTATACAATAGCCTGGCTCGAGCCTCGTTCCACAAGCATCACAGCGCCATTCTTGGTCTCGCCATAGCCCTTATCCTCAGTTCGTTCCTCACCGACATTGTAAAAAATACGGTTGGTCGCCCCAGACCAGATTTGATCGCGCGATGCAAGCCCGTCGCCGGTACTAAACCGAACGTCTTGGTGACCATTGACGTCTGTACCGAGACGGATCATCACACTCTTCACGACGGCTGGCGGTCTTTTCCTTCGGGGCATTCTAGCTTCTCTTTTAGCGGTCTCGGATACTTGGCTTGTTTCCTGGCTGGCCAATTAAGAATATTTCGCGATAGGAAAGATCTCGGGCGTTCGTTGGTCTGCCTTGCGCCTCTAGTTGGAGCTGCCATGATAGCCATCAGTCGATGCCAAGACTATCGTCACGATGTGTATGACGTCTGTGTGGGTTCTGCTCTAGGACTTACAGTTGGGGTTTTTAGTTACAGGAGGTACTGGCCGCGTCTGAGTAGTCGGGAGTGCGACGAGCCATATCCTGCACCTGGTATTGAGCTAGAAGATAGAGAAGGTTGGAGGAGAATACGAGATGAAGAGGAAGGCGGGCCGATCATAGGAAGAAATACCGGGTATGAGATGGCCAACTTGACAGCAAATCATAGCTAACGTTTGTTTAATAGATGGCCGAATCGCGAAGACTCCAGTGGATAAAGCACAAGGCATACGTGCTGTGATTTGTACGAAGTATTATTCGATGCATGTTCTACTATTGAGCGGCTTTTGTGTCTAACTCGGTCGAACTACCTCGAGTTATGTCTATCTATCGTAATATAACCTTGGAAAGGTCATGGTCAGATTCATTTAAGCAGTCGCCCAATTGATACTCGATACCAATCAAACGAGACTCACAGAGGTTAATTTGCGGGATGTGAGGATGGAGGTAAGGCGCTTAAATATTATAGAGCGCAGAAATTGTTGATAGGCCGTATTACGCATTATATATAGGCTGAACAAATTCCAAAGCTGGAAAGGGAGGCTTTGAACAGGTATAACTATTATAAATTCACCTATCTTATATACATTATATAATCGGAAAGTAAATATTTGATTAGTTCTCTACTTTTGTACCTACCTAAGATACTGTTGCGTTGACGCAGCTTAGATACCTTGATATAATATATTTAGTTGAAGCTCATTCCCCTTTTCTACCTCATGTAAAAAAGTACCCGAATGAATAACATTTACAAGTCGACTCTTCCCGGTCTTCTAATAATACGAGAATTTGCAGCACCCAGGTATATATTCTGTTTAGATGGTCCGCTATTTCAGTGCAACCCTTACTATAGCGAATTAACTATTTCAAAGTGTTTGTATTGGTTATGTCGAAGATTGGCTGCCTAATTCCAGTAAGGTTGCACTCTATATAGGTACCTGTAATTGTATGTAAGTAAGAGGTTAGGTACATATGCACACATCCAGGTCCTAGACCAGGTACCAGAGTACTAAAACGGGTGGTACCCCACTCCAAGATCTGCCACAGTTTTAAATGCGTGAAGAATTCCAGGTCAATACTCAGTACTTAGATAGTGTCTGTTAGTGCTTTGACCATCTTTAGGCGGGTTGCCCTAACAACCTTCATTATCTCTCAGAGGCCACCTCAAGTCCAAGTTCACAACTGATGCATTTACAATGTACTCAATCAAGCTGCTATTCTTTTGCTTCTTCTCCCACATCATTCCCCCATCATTTCCTTTCCTCTTCTTTCTCACTCTTACCACCCCGAGCATATCGTTTTCTCTGCTTTTTTCTCCTTTTCCCTAAAATATCCATCTCCATATGATATCCATATGATATTCATGTGCTCGGCGTGCCCCTTTTTACTGCTAATTTCAGCCCTTGATAAAAGTGAACAGTTTCAAAACTTGCACTGTTTTCACCATCATTAATTCTTGGCAGCCTGCCTCTATCACTGCACCTATTCTTATACTACTACGTCAGGCTTCCTAGCCTATTGGTGACTCGACTCCTTAGCATCTTACCTTGTTAAATATAGGAAGGATTGCTTTTTGTCTTATACCTATTCAAGCTTGGTTTTTGATAATTACAGCAATATAATCACGACGACAGGTATAATTTCCCCTGACTAACTAATATGTTAAGCCTCTATCTACATGGTGACATCTCTAATTCATCGCTTAGAATGCCCCGACCTGATAGCAGCGTCAAACGCGAACGTGGTGGTTCCCCAGCACCAAGTGCCAGATCAGGAACTATGGGACCACCCTCCCCCAATCCGCTCAAGCGGAAAGTTCCTCCCAGTGAGAGTCATCACTCGATGGCGCGAACTTTCAATAGATCCTTTGCGCGTGAGTAATGAATCCAGCTTCTGCTTACTTGTTCATTTCCGTTGTTGCTAAACGTTTTCAATATTATAGCCAGCGCTGAGACGATTCAGCGAAGGGACGATGAGACTGAACCCATCTTCATGGAAATGAGATATCGCCAAGACAGCCTCAGAAGCCGCCAGCAAGGCTCGCCAGTATCGCAGAACGCCGATGCTAGCTTCTTACAACAGAGTTTCTCCCATCACACCTTTGCCGACATTGGACTTAGACAGAAAGCTTGTAATGATACACTTGGGGACCTTCAGACGCTCGGCGTATCTCGTAAGTAGTATTTATTTCATATCTCTTACCTCCTACATCACTTTATATTAGAAGACAAATCAAGCAATGACATGTTAAGGGGATATTTCGTACCCCAAATTAGACTAGCAAAGAGGTAGCCGCTAACTATGGGCCCTCTAGACGTTGTTCCCCTTCCTGAACTTGTTCTGGTTGGCGACCAGTCATCTGGCAAGTCCAGTTTAATGTCTGGGCTGGCTCGCATCAACCTCCCGAGAAGCGCTGGTGTATGCACACGCTGCCCTCTCCATATTCGCTTGATCAGTAGTAAGACCGATCATTGGTCATGCACTGTCTCCCTGCAACAAGATTATGATTTCCAGCCACATCCCGATCGTAAACCGGAGCTATCAGACGTTACGTTGGCAACGCCGTTCCCTCCCTGGGTTGCGAATAACCACCGGGAAATAAAACCATTCAAGACAATTTTCAATCCCTCTGAGATTGAGGAAGTCCTCCGCTGGGCCCAGATTGCTATATTAAATCACAACCGTAACTTCGAGATTTTCATACCCGGCGAAGGTGCCTTTGCTAAAGAAACGCCCCTTGATGGTAGGTCGACGACCCTTTCATCAATGCTGGGCAATAGACTAACCTATTACTTCTCCAGTTGCGGCTCGGGAGACGGATGCACAATTCTCTCCGAACATCGTTGCCTTAGAGATGAGAGGACCCGGTCTCCCAGATCTGAGTTTTTATGACTTGCCCGGAGTCTTCCAATCTCCAGAAAAGGAAGAAGACATGTACGTGGTAAAAGTCGTCGAGAATCTTACTCTTGACTATATCAAACGGGACAAGGCCATTATTATGTGGGCTCTTCCAATGAACGTTGATGTGGAGAACTCTATCTCTTTAAGCATCATCCGCAGAGCTAAGGCTACGCGTCGAACCATCGGTGTCATGACGAAGGCGGACCAACTTCCTCCTCAGAATATTTCTAACTGGCTATCTATGTTCCGCAATGACAACCAGCTCGTCGGACATGGCTTCTTTGCCACATCGCGTCCGCCGGATCAAGCGCTAGAGAATGCAGCGAAATGGGAAGAACTCTTCTTCAATCGCGAGATTAACGGTATCCAATGGCCCACCGAATTCGCCGAGTTCAAGGACCGTTGCGGCGTCGAAGTTCTGCTAATGGTAAGCGGCTAATCTTTCCAATGCTTCCGGTTAATCTAGTTATCATTATACACCTGGAAGAGTTTTATCAAGATAGATGAACAGAGACAAAGCTAACTAAAAGCGTATTGCAGTACCTATCGTCTAAGTTAGGGGAAGCCTTTACTGAGAGCCTTCCTTCGATCAAAAACACGGTTCTCACACGTCTCAAAGTTATTGAGAGCGAATTGGCTGCCCTGCCCGAACTCCCCCCTAATGTGGAACATGAGGTGAAAAAGAGCTTGTTCGATTTTCTTCACCAGATGAAAAGCGCGATGCGGAATACTGCGTTCTCGGCTGAATGGAACGCCTTGAACAGCCAGTTCCAAGACTGCATATTCAGAATAAAACCAACCTGTTCAGTCAAAGATTCAGAGCGCCAAACAATCGACATTTCTGGAGCTGATTCAGAACCTACCACGCCGACGCCACATAGGCCTCGACCTACTGATTCGACTATGCGAAACCTCACAACGCCCAGCAGGCGCCAGCGCCAAGAAAATGCAGCAACCCCGGTAAAGAACGAGGAAATATCAATGGGGGTGTCACGTACCCCGTCTGTGGTCATCGGCTTAGGATCTAATCCCTTGGATCCCTTCACCCAATACTCACAGCTTGGTCGAAGAATGATGGACATTAGAGAAATCCGCCGAGAAATTTTATCGAAGAAGAGGCCCGGCATGCCCCGAGACTTGGTCCCAGACGAAGTTCGCGAGAATCTATGTTTAAAGGCAGTCAGAACGTGGCAAGCGCCTCTAGAAACTTATATCAGCAAAACAGCGGAGCTCCTAAAGAAAACGGCTAACGCCGCCCTCGAAAGCTCTCTAGAGTCATTGCGCAGCCGGTTGATCTTCAAAGATTGTAGAAAGTATCTAGGCGAATTTATCGACGAGACGGTCGCCAGCCAGAGGGGACGCCTAGCAGAGATATTTGACTCCGAAACCTACCAGCTTTACATGATGAACGACGATGCGTTCCATCGTTACAAGGCACAGGAAATGGAACAACTCTCGCGCATGCGCGGACTTGTTCGTCTGAAGGCTTTGACTCTCATCGATTGGGAATATCCAATTAAGAGTTTAGAAAGAATGTCCGAGGAGGAGAAAGCCAAGGAACGTAAGATACTTGACGCCACTCTACCCAAGGCTGGGAAAGACCCTTACGATACCGAAATTGAGGTTGCCGGTTTTGTTCGCGGATATTACATGAGTAAGAGTTCCCAGTGGCTATTTGAACGCGATTCACCTTGCTAACCTTTTTTTTATTTGTAGTGGCCGCAGCGCGGTTCGTAGAAGGTGTGACGATGAATGTTAATTCGCATCTTTTCCGCACGTACCGAGAAAGCCAGCTTGACGACTACTTGGATTCCAAGTTTTACATCTTCGGCCAATCTGGTAAGCAAAATCCCCATAGATCAACCTAGCAGGTAAAGTTTCCAAATAATATTAACAATATTCTAGATTCAGGGCTGTATGAGAGGTTAATGGAGGAAGATATGAACACCGCCAAAAGGAGGGAACAGCTAAAAGCAGAAATGGACAAGCTCGTGAGAGCCATGCACAGTATTAACAACCTGGAGAGGTCATCCAATGATAGCAGTTTCCGGCCGACATATGTGAACTCTATCAACTCCGACAGCGAGATGGACGGTACTGCGTAGTGTTGGACCATGGTTAAGTCGCATGGAGGAACGCTGTTTCTCAACTTTACTTTGCGCTGAGAGACAACTTGGCAATCTATTGTGGTTCCTGACTTTCTTGTGCTGGTTTAGGTACGCTCCAGTTGGAAAAGGTGTAAGAAACAAGCCAAATCACAACTTTACGTCTGGATATATAACTGTGTGCTAAAAAACCTAGGACGATCGGGCGAATTTCAACTAGGATCCCCTGGATGCTAGCAACCTGGGCTTGTCATTTAAATAGGTGTACCATGTCTGTTGTGTATTAGGTACTACGCAATCCTATAGGAGATATGTAGCTTTACTCAATGTTACCACCAATTTTCGTTACTTCGTTACTTATTATTGAGGATGCTAGATGCGTGTTAGGTAAAGTGATTCATTCAACTTGGGGTGATTCAGCTTAGGTGCGTAACATCCTGTGAAGTAGTGTTCTCGCTTTATTAACTTCCATCGGCTTTCACCTCCCTTGATCAATAACAGAACTCGAGAGGGCTATAAAAAGAGCCAAGCGAAAAAAAAAAGCCAGCTTTTTCTCTCCTTTCGGAATTACCTTACCTAAAAAGATGTAAATATTGAACTTCCATTGGCTAGATCGTGTTGGCTTTTCTGGTACTTCCGCTGCCAAGTTTCCCCTTAGAGAGATTCGTTATGTTTCATTCCGACTTTTGCCAGAATAACCAGCCGGGCCTTTTCTGGTCCACGGCTAACTTACGACACTGCACCGGACAGACAACCTATACCTCCAATTATAATTCAGTCGTTGGCTAGATTCCCATGCTGCACGTACGCAGTGGAGGATATGTCGCCGAAGCTGGCCTCCGTACTCAATCCATTCATACTGTTGACACTCTCTGACACTCTCTCCCAAATCCAAACGACCCACGCAAGGTCTCGCGTCCCCCCAAACCCGGATAGGTAGGGTGTTATTCGGCTAGAAAGAGCGTCATGCCGGAATGATAGGCGGCGAGATCGGTCCAGCACCAGCACTCATTGTCGCGACTCTTCTTCCATGTTCCTATCATGGATCATCTCTGACATGCATACATAGCATATAACCTGGGGAAGCGGATCTCTTGCTGCTATGCAGATTTTCTATGCTACCTAATAGTCTACTGGCTCATTACGCTTGAGCTGTCGTGGACTTAATGGCAAATAGTCGTGGGTTTGCAATGTCTAGATCCATATTATAGTAGACGTCCTCATACAGTGCTCGAAGTGGTCACCCCCCACAACTGATTACTATGTGCTTCCTAAAAATATCAACTCGGCGACTCGTATGTCTCATGGGTACCATAAAGACATATTCCTTACTTTGGGGTATGATCATGTGAGGTCAAGACGACATCGTAGCCGGGCTGTCGGTTTGATAGACCGCTAGTTACTCGGGATCCTAGTCGAAAGCCTTCCCCAACTGCTACCCTCCAAGGTCATCTCTATATTATCCCCGCATTATCGAACATGCATTGACTATTGTAACCGCAATAATGTAATGACAGGACTATTTAGGGTAGGACGACAAGGGTTGAATTTCATGCTAACATATATATGATATGCCTTCTTTAATGGAAGATATGGGCAAGCCCAGGGTCGTTATGTTTTTCAATGAGTAACCCCAGCCACTGCCCTGGGGTATAACACTCAATTCACATCGTATCCTTCTTCATGCCGCGAGTGCTTCACTCGTCTACCGCCTAGATATTTACTTATGTTTTGGAACTAGTTGAAGTTCTTGAACTCGAAAGTTATCGCACTTCAATAGCCCATATATGAGAACGCAAATCGAGAAGAATCAATATGGCCCGCTCTCGCCACCCCCAAGTCAACGGCCATGAGGAAGAACACGAGCAGTTAGCACATAGAGAGGAACCCGTCTTTGAATATGTATACTGGACAAAGGAGCCACATCTTCGGAAGCTCTACGCATGGGCATGTATTTTAATGATAGCCTCAGCAACTACTGGATATGACGGGTAAGATGATGAACGAATACCCGAGACTGCCATCTGACCTATACTTGACTGACAAGCTGCCTACCTCACATAGAATGCTAGTCAATACGTCTCAGCAGATCGATCGATGGAAGCAATATTTCCCAAGGACCCAGGTTGGGCCGGATAATCCCCAGGAGATAGCAGATAGCTGGTTAGGACTCCTCGTGAATATGTTCAATATCGGGAGTATCATAAGTTTCTTCCTTACGTATGACTTCTACTACGCGTCTCTATCAGCCACGAAACATTAACGTAGAGCTTAGGCCGTATGTTGCCGACAATTGGGGCCGCAAGACATCCATAGCCATCGGGTGCATCTTTATGATAATAGGAGGTTGCATATCTGCATTTTGCAATGGATACGAGAGTATGTGTGTTTGTGTGAAGTTAGAGGAGGAAGTCGTCAACAAGCATAGACCCAACCCATTAACATATGACTGCAGTGTTTATAGCCGGTCGCTTGATTCTCGGTTTTGGTAACAGTTTATCGCAGATGGCTTCTCCTCTACTACTGACGGAGATCTGCCATCCTCAACATCGTGGACCCGTCACTGCCGTCTACAACTGCTTGTGGAATCTGGGCGCCCTGTTGGTTGCTTGGGTTGGTTGGGGCACCGCGCAGATCCGGAACGATTGGAGTTGGAGATCGATCACCCTAATCCAGATCCTACCCTCGCTGATCCAGATTATATTCATCTATTGGATCCCCGAGTCACCGCGCTATCTCATCGCAAAAGACCGCCATGAAGAGGCCCTCGAGATCCTAGCGAAGTATCACGCAGGCGGCGACAAGCACGATGTTCTAGTCCAATTCGAGTTTCGCGAAATTAAAGAGACAATGCGGATGGAGAAACAGGATGCCCGCGCCGCCGGTTATCTCGACTTCTTACGGACTAAAGGTAACCTGTGGCGGTTAGCAATCCTTGTATCCCTAGGTGTCATCTCCCAGTACAGTGGCAATGCGCTCTTTTCTAATTATATGGACACTGTCTACGAGGGCGCTGGAATCAGAGTTCAAGACCAAAAGCTGGCTGTAGGCAACATGTCCTGATCCCAAGGCTTATTTCCTCGCGCTGACACTTCTCCCTAGTTGAGCGGCGGCAAGACGATTCTTGATCTTATCGTGACAATACTGGCCGCATTGAATGTCGATAGGTTTGGACGACGGCCACTCTTTCTACTCTCCACGTCTGGCATGGTGGTCTCGTTTGTTAGTTGGACTATTTGCGGCGCAATCTATGAGAATTCGGACATGACCAACGTCGCTTCTGGATACGCACAGCTGGTATTTATCTGGTTGTTCGGCATATTCTATGATATCGGTTTCTCGGGCCTGTTGATAGCCTACGCGCTCGAAGTCCTGCCCTTTAAGCTACGTGCCAAGGGCATGATGATCATGAACGTTACAGTGCAGGCCATCCTCGCGTTAAGCAACCAGACTAACAAGATCGCTTGGAATAGATTCCCAAAGCACTGGAACTTCATGCTTTTCTATACTGTAAGTCTTTTCTTTCTCCTTCCGCATAGCCCATTGGCTAACATAAAGCTCTGGCATAGCTCTGGGATTTCTGTGAGTTGGCGTTTGTCTACTTCTTCTATGTTGAGACAAAAGGGCCTACGCTGGAGGAGATCGCGTGGATCTTCGACGGCGCGGATGCAGTCGCCAATATCGATATCCGACAGGTGGAGAAGGAGATGCACGCCATTGAGAGGGAAGAGAGCATGGATTCGGGAGCCATGCCATCAAGGAGAAAGGGGGCTGTTTGACTTGGAACCTAGTATCGGTTTACCGCCAAGGTTAAGGTGCTCATGATTTTATGAATTAACAATTGCGATGCGATATTCTCAGTTAATACAAATAACTATTCAGCGGAGACGGTGATATACCCACAAGCGAAAGAAGAAGAAGAAAAAAAAAAGGGGGGGTGGAGGGGGTTGGTTGGACGGTAAATCTAAGACATATAATTTCATCTCAGTTTGAATTGAACTGGTCAATTTATGGTTATGCCATACATACGCTATCGTTCCCTATCTATTCTCCTTTCTATGATATCAATGCCCTTCATCAAACATTACCCCTTGCTTCGCGAAAGTACCTAATCTAGTTTGACGACATTTCAAGTACCAGATCATATATCCGGGAACACCTACGGCATTCTTGTTATGTTAATTTCAATCTTAGGAATCGTTATGAAGAAAGTGTCCAACGACATGAATAAACTTCAGTGAGAGTCGATTCCTAAGTACCCCCTATCCTAAACGAAATCTACTATCTAAATGGTATCAGCACGTCAATATCGTGGTTAAAAATCGCTTCATGAGCCAGAACATGCTATGCAAAGCAATACTGTCCGAAATCAGCGCTTCACCTCTTCAATAATCCTAGAAGCACCAGCGAAATTGAGCTCTTCCAACGTCTCTTCCCATACTCTTTCTCTTATATCCTGCCCTTCCTCTGTATATAAGACCTTAGGGTACCTATTTCGAATTAGTCAAGTGCCTCTACTATACGAGATGGGTGTTCACGCATACGGTCGGATACCCCAGTCGCTAACATAGCTCCCGTGGCTCTCCTTGCCCTTCACAACGATACCGTCGATAACGGCGCTGGCGCCACTCTCTACCGTTCTTCCGGTGAGATTTTGGAAGATCCAAAATCTTACACTGCTTATAAAGGACATGACGGCGCCGTCTCCAAACTGCGTGCCCTTGCAGAAACCCGGATTAGATGCATTGACGATGATGTCGTCGGCGTTGATTTGCTCCGCAAGCTTGGAAACGAAGTATAATTGCAACAATTTGCTTCTCGGGTAAGACCGCATCGGCTTGTACTCTTCGGGAATGTCAAACTGTGGTACGACCGGTCCTGCTTTGAGCGGGTCCGCCCAGTATGAAGTATCCGACGTGACGATGGAGAGTCGGGGAGGTGACGAGCTGTTGGACGATAACTTCTTTGATTTCAGGACCGGAAGCAGCAGGATGGCTAGGAGGATTGTTGAAAGGTAGTTAACTTGGAAGGTCTTCTCGTGGCCCGTAGCCTTGACAGTCGTGAAATTATCGCACCGTATGCCAGCGTTTAATATCGTGATATCGATTCGAGGTAGCGTCTCGCACTTCTTTACGAATGCCGTGATGGAATCGTACGACTCCATATCGACAAGCCAAACTGATATGGTTGATTCTGGGAACTCTTTCCTCAACTTGTCGGCTGCAGCGTCACCGCGTGCTTGTGATCTCACCCCCATGATTAGGTGTGTGAGGCCAAGCTGGAATAGCTGTCGCGCAGCTTCAAACCCGAGGCCAGAGTTGGAGCCTGTCACGATAGCTGTTTGGCCTGACACGTTTATCCCCGTAGGGATTGGCTTCCGGTATATTAGCCATTGACGATAGAGAAACCCGATGAGATGGCCCTCAAACGAAGCTTCGCTCTCGAGATACTGAGACATGTTCAAATCCTGCCTAGGTACCTAAGGTAGGTAGGTAGTTTAACACATACGTACCTGTTCGGATTCTAGTCGTGAACGAAGTCCCAAGGTAAGGCATATTTAAAGCCGTACAAGTGATGCGGTCATCGACCCCAGATAAATAACAGAATAGTAAATTCCTTTGACCGAAAATTCCGGTACCTCCATCCCTGAATACCTCTTCCCCGACCTACCTAGTGGCTAGGAGTATGTCTTCAAGTTGTGAGCTACATAAGACAGAAGTACATACTCCACATATATCGACGAACCAAATCCTCCAAAAGACGGATCAGAGTCTTGACAAATCAACGTGTTGGAAAAGCATCCAGATTTTAAGTGGCTTGCTTGCATGATGCGACCAAGCGGGAGACTCGGTCTTCCGAGGACCGTCGAAGTGCCTGATTATTATTTCCTCTCTGGGTATTATTCGAACTTGATCCGAAAAAGACGTTGTTGTCCGGCAGGATTTGCCCCACGATGCCTATGGTCATCAAGCACTTCAACTTGTAAGCTTGGCGTCTCACGAAGCTACTGCATGTTCGCGTTACGGACGGGATCATCGAGATGCCAGAAGCCGAGCTCTCTCTGCAGCTAAACAAATAATCCTGGTTCATAACGTCATTCGGGACCGACAGCTTGAACAATTATCGTCTCGGACCCTGGAGTTTATAATTCCCGAGGCGTTTTTTCCTTTTTTTTTTTCTTGTTTTTTTTTTCTTCCTCCACGAAGCCCTTGTCCTACTGGATATTGTTGTTGTTAATCCAGCCTTCACTCCACCAAAGCCTCAATCAAGACTTATACGAAACAACTTATATCAGCTGAAATATTATAACTCATTAAGCATTCTTTACATAGTATGGATTCTGATCCTTCTTTAAAAATGAGGTGTTTACAAGTATAGAGTAGGTTTCCTCATCCATAATACTGTATTAACATCACCCCAGCAAAGAAGGAGGAATCTTCGTTCTTTAACCCAATTACATTTAATTTGCTATTCTTATCAACTTCACGCTTTAAGACAATAGGCACCCCTCCAGGCTTCAAGTACAGGACTTGTTATTTTATTTTGTTTCCTTTTCTTTTATTCTATTGGAATCCGTTTCGAATTTGTACCTGAGCAAGAAAGCAGTGAGCTGTGACTCGACTCATTAGAGTGGCGAGGTGGTATTGACTACCATCCGTCTCGCCGCGCAACGTCCCCGACGCAGGAGAGAGGATATTCTAATAAAAAGGTAGGTAAACACGTTATGTATTCCTCGGCCTTTCCTGTGTTGCTTAGTGTCCATGCGCTCGAAACGCTGCGGCAACAGCCTCTTGTAGCGGCGGGGGAGATGCTGCCGTCAGTTCGTCCACATTTAAACCCGGGTCTCCTTTCCGCATCGCATGCCTATATTTCTCCCGAGCAGCGATGCGCTGAAGGTAAGCTACAATGTTTGGGTAATTGCTGAGGTCGTACTTTATGAAGCAACGCATTGTCGTAAGGCTAGTCACGTTCATAATATCAGCCGCTGTAAACTCCTCACCCGCGAGCCAGGGTACCTCGGAAAGACGCTGATCCATGAACTTGAGAAGCTGCTTTCGCCTATCCTCGTTTCCTTTCACGCTCTCGTTGTCGTCTCCTAGCCCCGCCCGGGAGAATAACAGAGCCGATACTAGCGCAGGTTGTAAGGTACCATTCGCAAAGTCTAGACCTATTGTCAGCCCCAAGTATCACATGTAGATATTCTATATGAGTCAGCTCGTCTTACGAAACCAATATAAATACTCGGCAAAGTCTTTCTTCCCAGGCGCAACGACCAATCTCCCATTTCCCCGCGTCTGCAATATGTACTCAACACAAGCGCCGGACTCGGCCAGTTTAACGCTCCCGTCTTCGATGACCGGAGCCGACCCGACGGGATGCAGGGCCTTGTACTCCGGTGGGGCCCAGATAGGTGATCTATCGTATTTCTTAAGTTCGTAGTCAATGCCAAGCTCTTCGCAGAGCCAGACCACTCTATCTGATTGCGAAACGCCGAGATGGTGGATAATGAGAGTCATCTTGACAGAGACTGTAGTACCTACCTAGGTAGGTACCTAGTTAAGCTTATGCTAACGAAAAGGTAGAGATAAGTTAAGTGATTTATGTATACAAGACTTCGCTTTAGCAAAAGGTCTTGACTATGTACCTTAAGGTAAGTAAGTACCTACCTAAGGTACATATATATAGAGAACTCAAACACTCCAACTTTTCAACATCACCAACTTAATGAGTCATAAGTACGGTAGCATAGTTGGTGGAGATCCTCCATCGTTAACACCCTTAACACCGATAGGCTTCCATTATATGCGTAACGCCAAACCGCAGCTAATTTCTTAGCTTAAAAACAGGTACCTAAATCGGTTTAAACGGCATAGTCTTGGAAGCCTTTTCGTGATGCAGATATCACCGGTATCACGGATGTACATGATTCATAGTGAAGTAAATTATCCCTTAGAGAGTATCACTTAATTCACTGCCATTAAATATTAGATCTTCAATTGTATAAATTATATACAATTAGATATTCTGTCCTATTCTTAACACTAAGGTTAGTATGGAGATGGCGAACAGCAAGCATAGGTACGCACGAAGATGAACCAGTCAGAATCTCACTATGCTGTCCTACGACTACACTTAACAGCCCAATGTCTCACATAGAGGCTTTTCTTGTCAATTGTTATATTACCGACTAATGAAACATTTAGTAAAATACACGGCATATGAACTGTATGAGGGACTTGTTTGAGTAACTCTATTGTCTCATAAGTGATGGTAGAAGCTTGATTCATATACGCCTTCTTACTTAATATACCTAGTACTATTAGTCTCTCATCTCATTCATCAGCACCAACTATTAATCACTCATAACTCATAAGTGGTAGCACCTATGCAGAGGGCGGATAAGTTAATTAACATCCCTCAAAGCTGATTTCCTTATTAGTTGTCATGATATCCAGATAACAACAATACTATCCTAATGAGCTGTACTTGTATATTCACTTAGTGTAGTAATTGTCTCTTACATACCTCACATTCTACGCCAAGACATCATGTACTTGCGTCCAAAGTACCTAAGTCCCTTAACCACTCATTTCAATACACATCTCTTCCTTTTTTATATCCTAAGTAGAATTAGAACCCGGTTCCTCATTACATGGACTCAAAGTTATGTATTCTTTTCAACAGGACACTACATAAACCTAGCGTATATCGAAATGAAAATGAGCCTTTAAGGTAAGATGGTTGCCGGTTTCGTGCGAGGCTCTGCTCTGCCCTTTGATCTTCCCCCTGTCTTCTCTGTGGTTGGCAACACGTGGCTGTGCGTGCAAATTTATCTAACGTATTAAACGTCACAGGGTCGCCGAGATTGGTCGCACTACATGTCAGTCGAGATCCTCGCGTCCACTCCTCATAGGTGCCCAGGCTGAATTCCTAATCCCCCAAAATACCACATCACCCCGCCTACCTACAAGTTAAAAGAACATGGAGCTTCCCACGCCGCAGAAGCTGAAACGGCACTTCCTACAACAACTTATCTATGAATTACTATCTGGGGAAGCCTGGCTCGACCCGGTGTCCCTATAAACCATAAATGCCTGGCGTGACAGCAGCGTCAGTAACGTCAGTCCGCAGAGGGTCGCGTGAGCCTCGCGAGGTTGCTGCGGTACGATCATATCAGCAGCTGGCAGGTTGTATACTATGGCTACCTGCGAAAACCGAGTTACGAGAGGACTGCGGGTCCGATATTGAAGCAGACAGGTGCAACCATCCCGTGGTGATTCTATCACCACAGGCAGAAGATGGGAAGGTGACATATCTCATGGTATGCTTTTTTTTATTCTTATACGAGATCTACAGGCTCGATTCTCTCTGCCCCCTCCTGTGTAGTTGCCTTGCTCTGACCGCCGTGACTTTAGATCACCTCGCTAAAGGGGACGGAGCTCAAGACTCGTTTCAAACGTGATCAGAACCTCAGGCTCGAACATATCCCGATACGACCCAATGATCCGCATCCGGACAATGGGATGCTCCTTAGTCTCGAGGATGTAGCGCTCGCGTTGCGGAAGAAATCTTATGTCAAGACGAAAACGCAGTACCGAATTCGAGTCGCGTCCCTGCGGCCTTACGAGCGTAGGGGACCCGAATATATCTTGTCGCGAAAGTCTTATCAAGATTTAATCGACTATTCCAAATTTACTCCTCCGGCTCCCCACCCCTCGCAGAGTACCGTCTCTTCCCCTGGTCGCGTGTGGAGTTACGGCCAAGCCATACCGATTGCTCGAGAGCGTAGCGGTAGCTATAGCGAGTATGTATCTGCTCAAAGACATTTGGAAAGTGCTGCGGTGAGCCCGCCCCGCCTCCACTACGTGCCGACCGCGAACACAAACTTGTCCCGGTACACCCGTACCGCTGTCCGGGGCGAACGAGATCCGCTGCTCGCCCAATCATACTCTCGCGGTTCGTATTCTAGCTATCCAGGCAGCTATTCGAACAGCCATCCTGCATACACGTATGGAACCTCGGGTCGGGCTGGATACCAGAGTTCAACACCTACGGTACGATTCGACGCCGAGGGAGGCTGGAAGAAGATAAAGATACTCTTCTGGACCCTCTTCGGAATCTCGGCAGCGCTTATAGGAGCGTACGGAGCGTACCGTGGTGTCACCTGGTTGACTGATGTAGGCAAGCACGCCGGCTCCATGGTTAAAGGCGAGATCGAGGAAGTTGGGAATAAAATTGGCGACTTGTGGTCAAGCTTAGTAAAGCTAGGGACCCCTTAAGGCTGCTTTACTTCTCCGTCTCTTCTTGTTCTTCTTCTCTTTATTCTGAATTCGAGTAGCTTATAAGCTTCTATGGTTGCAATTTCACGGTTTGTATGGTGCGGGATGGGTTGCGAAACGGAAAATGTACAATTGGCATTTTGTATTTGGATTGGCTTATATACGGGAACCCTTGCGGTTATGGAGTAGAATGTTATCGTTCATCAACGAAACCTATTGCTGGTCCGTTGCTGGGACCTCTGCATCAGAAATATCGCAATTCTCTATATACTGCTGGGGCGAGGAAGTCTCTTTGCAGGTCGGCTTAAGCGTTGCGGTGGCAACTTGTTTTACGATGGTTCTAGATTTAAAACAGTCAGTAGCATTCACGTCACACGACTATCATATGCTGGACGAGAGAGGGGGGGAAGGGAGGGATGGAATAGGAGAAATGGTATGGAAACAATCATACTGGCCATCGCAATTCCAAGTCTGATTCACTCTTAATTTCCAGCTGTCGTCCCAAAGAAAATTTGTGCTTGTATTTATGGGATATTCGGATCCGTCTACCTCGTAGCTTCGGTCCAAACACTTAAACCAGTAATTGCTCAAGTCCGGCCATACGTTGTCGTGTTGGACGTTTTGGAGGCTGCACCCAGTCGAAACGCCGTTGGCGTTATTGATCACTTCGAACGCAAGTTGCGTCGAATTGGGGAATGCGGTTATAGCATATGGTGATGTCTCAACCCTAACATAAAATACACCTTTGAGTGAAAACGTCGTTGCCGAGGCTTCGGTACAGGATCGTGTTTCTTCAAGGGATGATAATTGTCGGCTAGGCCCTGCTTGGGCGACCGACTGTGCAAATGGTAGTGCCAGGAGTAGGTGATAGGGGTGAGGCATCGTCGATTGTTGATCCTAAGAATAAAATGAAGTATTGTGAACCTATCTGTTTTCCCCTCCGAGAACATGGGCCCATGGGTAGTTTTATCATGGTACCGGCTTTTGAGCCCGGGTAAAGTCGCCGAGTTTATGATGGTACAATCTAATGTCTTTCCTGTTCTGCAACTAAGACCTTGGAGCTAGAGTTCTTATCATGATATCCGGTGAAGTTGGATATCCCGGTCGACGTGACATTATCTTGATTTTATCCATAACATGAGGCCACCCTTCAGGTACCTAACATAAGAGCCCGAAATTTTAAGTTGGTTCTACGATACCGAACGCACCCTTGGCCTACAACTTTACGATAGGTACCAAACGACGGCCAGCCACTATCCAAGATACGGAACGGTCGCCTGGCTTACGGCTCCATGATCCCGAATGGTCCATTGACCCACCGCTCCTTTGTTACCGTACCGAACGGCCGCTGGATATGTTACGGCTCCCCGTAGCTACCTATTGCAGTGGCTACGTTATAAGAGAGAGAGAGAGAGAGGTGGGCTTTCGAAGCGAGATGCGCGGTATAGGTATATGTTAGGTTAGGTTAGGTACTTGGGTACCTATATAGGAGGTACGTATTTTCGAGAAAGCTGTGGAAGTGGGGAATATCTTCTGAATCCACATTCCCTTGGGATGCAACCAATGAAACATTCCTTTAACGATAATACCTAGGCTACCACAGAATATGCACGTAAGGAGAACCACTATAATCAGCTGACCGCGACTCTTTCTCGCGTTAAGTACATCGCCCCAGGACGCGTCGGGCAATTCTAGAAAACAACCCCCGTCCCGCCTTTTTTTCTTTCTTTGCTGGACTGATGTCGATTCCATTTCTTCCATCCTTGATACACACGTAACACAGACAGCTCACCTAACCTAAGGTAATTACTAGTACGCACTAGTACAAACGATTCGTCGTATTACTCAACTTTCTTTTTTCCCTCCTCTCATAATATAAGAAAAAGATACCAGATCTATGAGAGGAACGAATGTATTGAATTACTGACACCCCTCTAACTCCCCCCTCATAATAACTAATCCCGCGTCGAATATCTGAAATATGGCGGAGCAAGAGAAAGAAGAGCCCAATCGACTCTTTAATCTCTGTACATTTGTATTTGTCCCTAGTAAGGACTTAGGCGAAGAATTGATCAATGAGGTACGTTATAATCGGCAATAAACATATTATATATGAACCTATACTCACTCTTATTAAATAAAAGCTATCTGGTAGTATCGATAAGTTCGGCGGCTCAGTCCTAGCAGCGAAACGCGATGGATCTTTGCCACTTTCGCAAGTGACCCACGTGATCGCCAATTCTATCGATTTCCCGCAATACACCGAAGCGACGGCTATGATGATCCCCGTTGTGAAATCTAAGTGGATCACGGCGTCATTAGCGAAGGGGAGGCAAGCTCAGATACGCCCGTTCACCCCCGATCCTCGGATGATCTTCTCCGATGTGGTATTATCCTGCGCCGATATCCCACCTACCGACAAGGAGGCTATCGTTGGTGCCACGATGGCTATGGGTGGAATGGACTCGGAGAGTGTCACCAAGCTAACCACTCATATTTGCGCCCTCTCTATGGACCATCCTAAATGCCAGTTGGCCACGGAAAAGAAGCTTAAATGCAAAATTGTTCTTCCTCATTGGTAAGCCTATTCTGAATTCTGGATGTAACCTGTTAGAGAGACATCTAACTGGTATATAAAGGTTTGACGACTGTTTCAAGCTGGGAAAACGAATTGACGAAAGCCCCTATCTTTTACCTGACCCCGAGTACCTCCGCGCCAATCCCGAGGATGCGATCGAGGTACCCCCAAGCCAACATCTCGCCACTTCTGCTCGACCGGATTATTTATCCAGTCCTTCCGACGACGATGTGAAAAATCGACGTATCCTTACTGTATTCAATGGGAAGAAAGTCATGCTGTCATCAGACTTGTCGATTAGAGACCGACTCAGGAACATCGTTTTAGGGCTCATCAATGACGGTGGGGGTGAGATGACTGATAGCGTCGACGATTGTGACTGGTTCATCTGCCAATATCGTGATGGGCCACAATACATATGTGCTGCGCAGAGTGGGAAGACCGTAGGAAACCTGTCATGGTTATACCACCTAATTACCCACAATGAGTGGACATCCCCTCTACGCCGTCTTCTCCACTACCCTATTCCACGCCGCGGCATTCCCGGTTTCGAGGGCAAGAGGATTACGGTGTCAAACTACGGAGGGGAGGCGCGCATATACCTGGAGAATCTGATCAATGCTACTGGAGCGCTATATACGAAAACTATGAAGGCCGAAAATACCCATCTTATTACTGCGCGAGACAACAGCGAGAAATGCGAGGCTGCGCGAGACTGGAACATTCACATGGTCAACCACCTTTGGATCGAGGAGAGCTACGCAAAGTGTGAGATGCAAAGCGTAACGGTATCCAAATATACGCATTTCCCGGCCCGTACAAATCTTGGCGAGGTTATCGGTCAGACATTCCTCGACGAGAAGAAACTGCGAGACTTGTACTATCCCGGCGAGCCGGAGGACCTTACACCGGCATCTAGGCGGAGACGCAAGATTTTGGAGATCGCCGATGAGAACTCGTTTTCCGATGGCGCGGCTGAAGGTGTTGTGATTGGGCGCCAGGCCCACAAAGAATTCGACGTGATGAAGGATACCGATGCTGAGTACGCGCAGAAAACCGCCGAAGTATTTGGGGTGCCTGCGCCGCGGAAGCGCCGCGACTCGTCCGAGCTGAAGACGCCGGCTAAGGCCCGCCACGTCCGTGCCGGTAAAGAAAACGAGACACCCTCCACGGCTTCTTCGAGCCGTAGCGCCAAGGACAAGGCATTAAATAGGCTATCGGTCCTCGCGCCCGATATTGCTCTGTACGAAAAGGAGAAGAAACGAGGACTTAAGGATGGTCACGGACTCTGGGGCGGCAAGCGAGCAGCAGACTTCATTGATCGGGAGAATCTGAACCGACACAGCCTCTCGAGCCCAAGTACGGGAAGCGAAGACAAACAGAGCAAGACCGAGAAGCGGCCGGCGAAAAAAGCGAGGCCGTCACTTCCCGAAATTAATATGAGGGTAGTCCTCACTGGGTTTCAGCGGTGGGTTAATGAGAAATATAAAGAGGACGCAGACCGAGTAAGTTTAATGGGCAATTTGCTTGTATTTTTTTTCTTCTAACATCCTAGCAGAAAAAGTTACGCGAGCTCGGCATCGCCGTTGTAACAGACGGCCAACAATGTGACTATCTCGTAGCTCCGCATCTAGTGCGGACAGTCAAGTTCCTTCGCAACCTATCCAAGGGTGCGACCATCGTATCTTCGAGCTGGATCGAAGAGTGTCTAGATACGAAGGAGCTATTAGACCCACAGGATTTCATCCTCGAGGACAAGGAGAACGAGAAGAAGTTTGGGATCAAGCTGGAGACCTCGGTGCAAAGGGCGCGAGTGAATAAGGGCCGGCTCCTGTGGGGGGTCCCGATATACTGCACGGCCAACATCAAGAACGGCCCGCAGGGCTACCAGGCCATCGCCGAGGCCAACGGCGCCGTGTTCATGACGTACGGCCCGCGCAGCGGGACGACGATCCGGCCGACGGCGCCGGAGGAGGACGAGGGCGGGCCCGAGCCCGTGTACCTACTTAGCAACACAAGCCCCGAGGAGAAGAAGCTGTGGAAGAAGTTCGAGGACATGGCGCGCAAAGGCAACATGGAGCCGCGCATCGTGGCGGCCGATTGGCTGCTCGACGTCGTCATGCACCAGGAGGTCAGCTTCGACGAGAAGTACCTAGCGACGAACTTCTTCGCCTGAAGAAAAGAAAGGAGAGGAAAAAGGGGTTAGGGGGGAAGGCGTTGCGTTGGTTGTGATTGTAATTCATGGCGACGTGTGGTAGTGGGGAATACCATTTTTATGTGTGAGATTTTATCTCTAATGTTTGCATTATGAGTTACGCCTTTTCGGCTGCATAGCTAAGGGGTTCGGATTGGCGAGGCGTTCTTTTTGTTTTTTTATTTTTTGGAGGGAGTACATCCGCATGGTTACTTTGTTTTCTCTCCCTCTTTTTCTCCTGTCCGGGATACGTCTCGTTAGGTACCTCTCCCATCTATTCATCCATCAATCCATCATACCATGCCGTCTCGAGTGGCGGATTCGTATCTGGCTGGGTGAGGTTAGGTAGGCAAGCGGATAAATTACATACATAGGTACCAGGTAGGCCTTGCTGTTGTCGGTTCTTGCACATATTATTATGGAATATATACTTGATCGCAGCAGGTAGCCTATAGCAGAACAGAACAAATCACAAATCGGATTTGGACTTGGACTTGGGCTTGGACTTGGATTTCGTTCTCGGTGTTCGATATTCCGTACTTAGAAGAACTTGACTCCTTGCTGGTCTTCCTGTCCGAAGATCTGCGCCTTGCCGCGCTTGACGAGGACTTGTAGCGCTTTCTGTAAGAGGTCGGGATCGAGGCCGTAGAATTCTGCGAATTTACGTTAGACCGACTTACTTCCATGTTCCATGCTTGGTAAACGCGGGACGTAATAAACTCACCAGTACCCCTCGTCCCCTCCCCATCCGTCAACTCATACAGCGTCAACACCGTGCCCTTCTGCGCCGTCTCATCCACCCACCCCTCGATCAAACCCGCCCACTCCTCCGGCGTGCGCCAGTACACCCAATACACATCCCCCCCTCCTCCTCCATTCCCATTCTCGCCGTCTCTCCCCGACCCCGTTCCCGTACCGACCGGTTCCGCCCTCCCCTCCTTCCTCATGAACTCCAACACCTCCCTGGCATCGGCGAGTCTCAAGGAGCGGTTTATCCTGCGGTTCCGGAACAGGTCTTCGTAGGGGGTCCCGTCGTACGAGAGGGACAGGCGGAAGAGCCGGTGGTGGCGCGCGTAGGAGAGGATGAGGGAGGACCACTTCTCGAGTTGGGAGTGGTGCGTGGTCAGGTTGGTTTGCCGGGTGAAGAAGGGCGGGAAGTGGTATTCGCGGGGGAAGTCGAAGGCGGGGGGGGGCGGTTGGGAGGAGGTGGAGGGGTTTGTGGGGGTTGAGGACATAGTTATTAATAGGTAAGCAATATGTATGTGTATTGAAGATGGCGATGTTGTTGGTGGAAAGTAATGGGAATGGTCTTGCTTTAGGTAGATTAGGTAGGGATTGGTATAGTGGTTATTAGTGGAAGTAGTATACTATCTACCTAAGGTAATGTAGTGGTCGTAGTGGGAGTTGATCTGGGGCGAAGTTTGGCGGAGCTCCCAATCTAAGCTCCAGTGTTGGATCTGCCCCTGGAGCTTAGAACCCCGCTATAGAACCCCGCTATCCTTTCACATGCTTGCGTTGTGAAAAGTATATCGTACCTTAATATATCGACCAGGTACTTGTACTAAGGTTCTTTCTAGGCTATTTCATGATATACAATATTCTACTTGGCAATACTATACCATTGACGTGAGCATCCTATCGACTTCATTTAAGCATAACCAGTATTTTTAATAAGTTCTCTATAACAGGTACGAACGAGTAGTATATTAATTTAAGCAGTTGCCAATAATAGTATTTATATAAGTGCGTTTATAAGAGAGAGTGATAGGGCGGGTTGGGATGATATACCTATAACATACATACCTGGAGAGATATAGAATCTCTATAATACTACGGCTATTGAGCGGCCCATTCAGATGATATTAGCACAGAACAGCCCAAGACCATGTAAGCTTGCTAGCTAGCCAAAAAAAGAAAGAGAAAAAAAAGGATGCGGCTCAAGGTGATCTTAAAATGCAAAAACGTCTGCTGTTACTCGTATATTGAAACCTGCGCTCTGACCTACTATCCATAAGCACGCGGGACATATGTACACCAGGCGTCACGGCCATTCCCGCCCGTCTTACGAAAAAAAAAAAGGACAAAAAGAACATCCACGACATCATCATTACGGTCATCAATTTCGCACCACCCAGTCCAACCGAACTCCGTACAGGCGTAGACATAAGCATCGTGGAGTAGGAATTCAAAAACCCAGCCGCGCATGAGAAAATTTAAATCAAATATCAACGCCGCGGGTATCATCCTGCATCTCGTCGCTACCGAGCTCCTTCTCGAGCTCGTCCGTTACGAAGCCCTCGTAGTCCTCCAGGTTCTTCTGGATGTGCACCTTGAACTTGATGATGTCGTTGAGCATCCTCTCGATCTCCGTGTGCAACTCCTCGCGCAACGCGTTGGCTCGGAGAGTTAGCTGTTCGTATCTGAGGTTGATGTTAGCACAAGGTGCATAAATAGGTATATATATAGGTATATATAAGCACTAGGTGGGCGAAAGACGTACTCTATGTTTGTGTTCATTTCCCTTTGCTCCATAAGCTGTACGGATTCGGTGAGCTGAGCTCGCATCTTGGCGAGCTCCTTCTCCATCTTCTCGATCTGCGCATCGGAGGCCAGTTTTTGTGTCGTGGTAACCTAGCATCTGTTAGTAAACAGTATCCGTTAGGGTATAAAAAATCACAATCTTGACGTACCTCCTTTGTCTTCTCGTACTCCTCTTCCGCCGCTCTGACCCTGTGTTCCAGAGCCTCGACCTCGTTCCTCTTGTCCTCGATCGCCTCCTTAATGCCATCAAGAAGATCGTGATCCTTCATCATCGCGTCCATAGCCGCGGACCGCCTCTCCGAGATCTCCTTGCGTAGAGCCAGGAAGTTGTTCTTAACATGCCCGCGCAGGTCCAGGTTGAGGATGTGGGCCGGCTGATAGCCGGTGACAGGATCGGCAAGCAGGCGTTCGCTTCCTCCGCTCGAGTATGACCCCTTCATTATGGAGCCCGTGAAGTCCGACTCGTTGACGGTCACGGCAAGTTCGTACGCGACGCCCTTGGCGTTGACGGCCGTCGCGGGGATGAGGCCGATCTGGTAGGCGAGCGTGTTGTACTTGTCGACAAGCCTCTCCAGTTCGTCGAGCTTACGACTGGCTTCCATTTCCTTTTCCGCCACCTTCTTCTTGCCTTCGTCGAGTCGAAGGGTTGCGGACTCTATGCCCTTCTGCAGCCTTTCGCGTTCGGAAGTCATGCGGTCGATATCCTGCATGCTGATGCCTTGGTCGTCGACCTCCTTCTGCAATGCGCGGCGCTCCTCCTCTGCCTCCCTCAGTTCCTCCATCAGCTTGTCAAGTTCTTCCTGCAAAACTTGGATGCGGCTTTCATATTTATCAGATCTCGATAAGGCCAACGCATTATACTCCTCAAACTTGACCTTATCCTCCTCCATAATCTTGAAGTGGTTGTCGAGAACACGAGGATCCGGGGTGGACTTTTCGAGATCCTCAATCTCCTTGAGCAGTCTAGCATTCTCCGCCTCGAGTTCCTCGAGTTCCAATAGGTACTTGGAGTTTGACCTCTCGAAGGCGGCCGCCATATCTTCCACATGGGGCGCGAGTACTTTCTCAGCGTCATCATCACCGGCGTCCTCATCCATAGCAAGCCAATCCCGGTACGCTGAGCTTAAAAAGTCGAAAACAATATGATCGCTAATAACGTCAATCCCACTGTCTATGCAGGCTTCATCGTAGCGATTCGATGAGTAACCCTCAAGCATGTGTGCCAACTGCATCATCCAATGAAGCAATCCCAGAAACGTACTCCAGTTCTGGCCACCCACCGCGGAGATTTGCGACTTGGTGATACTCTTCTCGTAAGGATAACGTAGCTGCTTCAAAATCGGAGGAACTTCTTGGTCGATGTTTTTCTGGAAGCGATAGCTGGGGTCGATACGGTGATATAGCCATTGGAACATATAGTTGAAATCCTTCTGGGTCGGCGACTTTATTATGTTGTGCGACAGAGTATGCTTCATTTCCATTTCGAAATTGTGTTGCGATAGGTAATCTAAAAGCTCTTGACCTATTCGCGCCTGGAACGAGCGGTCCTTTAACGGACGCGGATCACGCGGTACACCAGCTGCTTGAGGGGCTTGTTGGAAAAAGCTCTGATGGTTTCCTGGGCCGGTTGTCGAGGTTCGGGAACGATAGACGCTACTCCTCCGTTCGTTCTCCGAATTTCGCATCGGTACGCCGCCGGAAGCATAAGTCTTTATTGTAGAGCCGGGAGGGTTCTGGAATGAGGATCGCTTGACCGAAGACATTCCCATGTCGGCCAGGTTCGTACCGGACGACGATCGAGAGAAGAGATGCTGGCTGGAGCGGCCGAGCGCAAGGGATTGTCTAGATCCCGAGACGGATCGCATATGGCTACCTCCGAATCCCCCTCCATGTCCAATCGAGCTTGATCTCTTCATTGCTGATGCGGGTTGTGGTATAGAAGTGTTAGGATTGATGCCACCAAGGGTCTAGCGAAAATTAGTTAGTTGATATTCTAGGTATATATTATTCCGGTCGCGCTAGAGCGGCTACATTATCACCTGCACTATTGTAGGTAGGTAACAAAACATAAGGACTGTGTACTGTGTAGAGCGCATCGCGTATCGTACCTCTCTTGGTCGCCGAACACTCCAGAGTCCCGTTTCCTGGGACATGGTGTTCGAATCAAATGGGTTTGTGGTCTAATAATATCGAGGGGCTTCCAAAAGTCTGTTATGGAATCAAGTTGGAGGATTGAAGAAACAGGGGCGGTGATTTAATTCTGCATTGTACGAAGTACAGGCTTGGTCAGTGCCCGATTACCCCCCAGTCCAAGTAAACAAATCGCAAATTGTTGTAATTGGTCCAAGCAAAGTTGCATCAACAAACCGAATTGAAGTAATTAAGTGGAGACGATGGGGGGTTGTTCTTGGCGTTGATCTGGCGCGAACTGTTACTAAGGTATTAAAGTATGCAGGTGCCTGTTAGGTACCTTTGCCTGTATGCCTTCTGTGTCTGGTACTTTTACTTTCATCCGTCCCGGCTTGCTTATGCTTTTACAAACAAGCAAATTTCTTTACTACCTACATCAGCATTCTACTTATCTATCATAACCCGAGCACTATCTGCTCTACCTACCGAGGTACCTTTGAATACATGATGATGGTATTTCCTTAGATCGTGATGGTGCGGAGGATCTTAATTCTCGCGGGTGCACCAGAAAATCATAAACTGGACTGGGGAGAGTCAGGTCTTTTAACCCAATTTTTGGATCCAATCGCTGAGTTTGCCCACCTCGACGACATCCGTCCAAGTCCGAAAAATGCAAATATTACTCTCTCTTCTTCCCGGGATGTCGCTGTCTGGAGGTCTATACCGCTCGAGAAAACTGCATTGCCGACTGGCTTCTCTCAGCTTCATCAGGTAAGGGAAGATTATCGTGAGGATGATGGCTTCTTTACCGTTTTTACGCCCTCGCCATCGTCCTCGTCTACTTCTGACCTACCGGGGACCTATAAAGCAAGTCAGGAGCTGTTGGATCAGTTTTACGACCACTCGTTAGCAGTCCATGATGATATGCCATCGTCTCAACTGCCTACGAGTTTTATTACCGATGATTCCTCGTTGAACACAACCGAAGACATGAGTTTGTACAATTCGGTTCAAAGCAGTAATTCTTTTGCACGCCGGAATCAGCCCCCAATTCCTCAGGCAACTCACCTGAGCGATCTCGAGGATGTACCCAGGGCGTCGCATCTAGAATTCATCGCGCCGCAGACGATGACAGTCAACCTCATCGTTGGTATAATTTCCATTGCTGAACCACGCACTGTGAGAACCAGATGGGGTTCAACCATGTCCTTAATCGAACTTCTTGTTGGGGACGAAACCAAATCAGGCTTCAGTATTACCTTTTGGCTTTCATCGGAGCTTAGCGAATCATCCGGCAGTATTCTTAGAGAACTTCGCAGACAAGATATAGTGCTCCTCCGGAACGTCGCGCTGAGCGTCTTCATGAAAAAAGTGCATGGGCATAGTCTGCGAAAGGGTCTGACGAAGGTTGACCTCCTCTATCGGAGGAAGCTCGACAGAAATGATCAAGGTGGATTATACGGTGCGCGGGACTTGTCATCAAGCAAGCCAGCACATCCTCAGTTGATGAAAGCGAGAAGGGTCCTGGAATGGGTTATGAATTTCGTTGGTGACGGTGGTGCAGCCCTGGGGAAGAGAAAGAAAGGCGGGAAACCCATAAGAAGTTGGGATATGCCGCCGGCAGATACGCAATGAGCGTGCTCGTGATACCTAGACACCCACTAGCATCTAATATCTACCTCTTAATCGTCTCCAGTTATATGCATTAGAATCCTAAACCAGTCTTATACCACGATTCACAAGAGCCAGGGCATAGTGTATGAAGTGCTTAGCATGGCATCACGAGCATCTCCAGAAGGTGATCTGGACGTACCTAGTTGTAAGTCATATGCGTCTCGGCGTGGGAGCTAGCTACACGAGAACCGAAATCCTGTTTGAATGATTGGAAATGCGATTGGTTTAATACCGAAGACTCTTCATCGATTGATTAAGAAATTATTAATTATTCTGTAACTGTACAACGTGAGATGTTTCTTGTTGTCTGCGAGATCGGCTTGAAGGAAGTTTATTAGGCCATGCGGGCTGGAGGGATGCAGATGCGTTACCTAGGACAAGTACCTTGTAGTAAGAGTGGAATCTGGACACTGAAGTAGGTACCTAAGGTACCTGGGGTATATGCATATGGACGCATGCTTGTACCTGACATCGATTAGCCAATCGACACCAGAGCTGCACCTACTTAGCAGCTACACCTTAGCTCGTAGTTCACCGCCTTCTATTTTAGGGTTCAAATTACCCCTCCATCAAGTTTTTTTTTTGGCGCCAATCACCCCGCCATATGGCAATATTAAAAAAATTATTGGCCCCAAGACAAACGTCCCTATACTCGACCTTTCTGCGCATACCTGATGTATCCTTACATAAATCTATAACGAGAATTCCTTGAGGGCAAGAAAAGAGAAAATAAACTAAATTTTAAATTTCTTCTAGTGCCCTTATAATCTTACCTTAAGCTTATTAGGTTACATCTATTTTTTTTCCTACCTCGGGGCTCTTTTCTTATAAGTTCTGGTTGTGCACGTCTGTCCTACCAGCTACTTTTTCTTTTACAAAGTGTTGCGCGATAAAATCTACTTCCAACGACGTTGATCATCCCTCATACGACATCACCCCACTACAATGTCAGGCTACGATTATTACAAAACGCCTCTGGACTCCCGCTACTCTAGCGAGGAAATGAAGAAGCTGTTCAGCCAGAGGAGTAGGCACAGCACTTGGCGACAGCTTTGGTTATGGCTTGCCGAAGCTGAAAAGGAACTTGGTCTCGAGTCCAGTAAGAAAAAGACTGCTTTCATTTATCTCTAAGCCACCGCTTGCATGTTTGAAATATTCCACCGTAGTAGATTCGTAGATTGCTATTGCTAAGGGCCAATTGGCTTCAATATCGTAAGAAATACTCTTATTAACTTCAAATGCCATAGTCACGGACGAAGCTCTCGAGCAGATGCGAGCCCACCTTACTGTAACAGATGATGACTTTAAGATTGCCATAGAGGAGGAACATCGTCGTCGACATGACGTTATGGGTCACGTCCATGCGTATGGCGTTGTAGCGCCGGCGGCAGCTGGCATTATCCACGCTGGGGTATGAACATCTTATATACATGATATGCGGCCATACAAATGCTAATCACCTCCTGATAGGCTACTTCGTGTTTTGGTAATCCACGATATATTCTATATTCTCATTTTCCGTTCTATGATTATTGACATCGTAATAGTTACTGATAACACTGAATTGATCCTTATGCGAGACGCGATAGACCTTCTTTTGCCTAAGCTCGCCAAGGTCATTAGGGTAAGTCAATCATTAAAGCGTAAGCCGTCCCGTTTATAAGACACAACTACTAATATATTATATAGTACGTAAAATGAAGACTCGATGGTATCTGTTAAATGATCTTAATCCGTCGTAGCAATTTGTCCAACTTTGCACTGAAGTGGCGAGAGGAGCCAACTCTAGGCTACACGCATTACCAACCCGCAAGTATTTCCCGATATCAAACTCTCCCGCCTCCAACCCTACTGCTCCAAGATAAGTGGCAAATCTCCTGTTTCCTGTGAACTTTTCAATGGAAACTATGAGACACAGGCGTTGCTGGAAGCTATTAATACTAGACCGTTCTAACTGTCCCTAGGCCCAAATGATTACGGTTGGCAAGCGAGCTGCAGAATGGATTCAAGAACTAGTCATGGACCTTGAAGATATTGAGCATGTCCGCCAGGAACTTCGATTCCGTGGAGGACAGGGAACGACGGGCACCCAGGCGTCCTTCCTTGAGCTCTTCCAGGGCGACGAAGCCAAGGTAGACCAGCTAAATGTGCTCCTATGCGAAAAGGCTGGTTTTCCTGGTGTAAGTCGAGCCCCAATCCATAAAAAGGCGTTTTCTAACTCTAGCTGCTATAGTGTTACCCTATATCTACGCAAACATATACGAGAAAAGTCGACCTCCGCATGTATGTGTTGCCGATTTACTATGTCCGCGTTGATCTATCCAAAGATCCAATATCTTCTAGCCGAAATATGAGGGGCCTACCGCCTCGAAGATATACCGGATTCCTCTATTCATATGCCTTAAGAGTGGTTACTGACATATTGGTATAGTTCTAATGCCATTGCGGGTCTGGGCGCTACTGCGCAACGTATCACATCTGATAGTGAGTATTCAACTACCTTACCCAACTTATGAGACCAAGAAAATATGAGATTAGAAACTAACATCACTTAGTCCGTCATCTTGCCAATCTGAAGGAATTGTTCGTAAAACATCGTCCTCAAGAATTGCACCATCTCAGACTAACACTATCTTTAGGGAAGAGCCATTCGAGAAAGACCAGATCGGAAGTGAGTCGGGCTCCTAGTCCACACGCAATGACTTTACGATGGCTAATGTACTACAGGCTCTGCCATGGCATACAAGAGGAACCCTATGCGGTGCGTATAGTACCGTTTTCTTAACATTTCCATAATTCACGCTACGCAATAGAGTGCTAATTCACTCGATTTAGGTCTGAGCGTATTTGCTCGCTTGGCCGCAAGCTTGCAAGTCTTCCGGTTAACTTCTCTAATACCTTTTCGGCACAGTGGCTCGAAAGATCCTTAGAGTAGGTAGCCCCTTTTCATTTGTTCCTGAGACAATCTTAGCTCTTAGAAGTAGCTGCTAACTTCTTGGCCTTACAGTGATAGCGGTGAGCAGCGGGCCGTTCCGTATTTAGTGTGCTACTAATTTGTGAATCTATATAGCCATTCGTCGCATAGACATCCCCGAGATGGTGAGACTCCATAGCACGGTTTCATCTAAAGGGAGCAACGAGCTGACAGTTCATAGTTTTTATTAGCTGATGCCATACTGATCGGCCTCGACAACGTGACCAACGGCTTGGTTGTTTACCCTAAGCGAATAGATTCGCGTAACAAGCAGGAGCTTCCTTTCGTATGTCTATCTCAATACAGAATTCAGCACCGATTTTATGCTTTCTCAGGAGCATTAATATAGAGGCTGATCTCAACGTAACATCTTGTCTGCTGCATACTGCATACTAATTTTGGGCACTATAGATGATCACCGAGGCTATCTTGATGAAGATTGTTGCCAAGGGTGGTTCCCGACAAGAAGCACACGAGAAAGTCAGAGTGCTTTCCCACGAGGCTAGCTACGTCGTCAAACACGAGGGTACGTAAAAGCACCAGTCTTTGATTTCACTTCCCGAATAGCTTGCTCGGCATTTGAATCTACGCTAACATGACTTTGCAGTACGTTGAGAATTCTATCTGACACATACCAATTTTAAGTTCCTTCTTAAATGGAATACTATTAAGAGTTGTGAACTATTAATCATATACGAAGCTAACACATGACAGGGCGGTGACAATGACCTTATCGAGCGTATTAAGAAGGACGAGTACTTCAAAGACATCTGGGACGAGATCGATGCTATGCTGGACCCTAAGCTTTACACTGGCCGCAGCACCACAATTGTATGTGCAAACTTTTCATTGCCCTTCCTATCATTTAGCTATGGGTCACGTTAGCAGTTCCTATAAACCGCATATTCATAGGACTATCCTTACAATCCCCACCCATATGCCCCATATATGGACTCCTTTTCCGTATCAGTTACTAACTGCCAACAATAGGTTGATAGGTACTGTGGTAAAGGCGGAGAGGTAGAGAAGAAGCTGGAGCCTTACCGGGAATATATTTCAAAGGCTGAGACCGCGCAGCTCAACCTCTAAGCGCTACACAATGGGCTTTTAGTGTGACGCTCCTTCCAGGGTGCGCTCCCTTAGCCTGCTTCTAGTCTCGCCTTTAATTTCCCTTGTGAATAATCGTGATTTTCCCGATGCTATACATAAAGCAAGGAGTTTGTAGGTATAATGTATTTTCCACAGAAATAAAGATTTTGATTTTTGCTTTTCAGCTTTCAGCTCTACAATATCAATATATAAAAGTACATCAGCCACATCAAGGGCTTCTAGCACACTCGCAAGAGGATACAGGATCTGAAGTTACTCGGTTACCTGTATACTACCTTGAAGACTATAACCCTCAAACTTTAAGAAGTATGTACATAAACTACGGGGTAAACGGTTTCGTCTTCACGTCCGTCATATCGATCCTGCGATAGTAATTAGCCCGGAAGCGTTTTAGTCAGGGCAATAGAATCTACTTACCATGATGTTCCCTGTGAAGAGAAAAATTTACTAAGTTGGAACTGCGCAACATCCGTCTTAGAAAGCTGCCGCGAAAAGCTAGCGCGAGAACTGGTAGCAGCGCCAGGCCCGGTGTTCTGGTACTCGCCGAACAGAACCCCGCTGGTCCGCGGGTCCGAGGTCGACCAGATGGACCATCCCGCCGGCGCGATCGACTTATCCATGTACGTCTTGATATACGCAACCTTGGAATACTGGTTCCACGGACGGCCCAGGAACACCGTCCCGGCTGTCGCGCTCGCGCCCGCCGTCGCCGCAATGCGGCACTGGTCGAACACGAGGCCGCCGACGGCACTCGCCGACGCGCGCTTCATCGCGGCGATGTACGTGCTCTTGATGTTCGGGACGATGGTGCAGTTGAGCAGATACGCCGAGCCCGAGCCCCAGACGAAGTCCACGGACCCTTCGATGACCGTGTTGTACGCGAACACGCTCGTGCCCGCGCCCATGTAGAACGTGTCCTGGTTGCCCGCGACGCGGCACCCGTACAGGCTGGCGAGGGCGTTGCTCTCGGTCGCGAAGCCCAGCGACGCGTAGTTCCGGGTCTGCCCGAACACGTTGCGCAGGTCGATGTTGTGCAGGCGGATCTCGGCCGCGCGGGCGAACAGGGTTGCGGAGTCGGTGTCGCTCTCGCTGGACTGGGTGTCGACGCCGCGGCTGTTCTGCAGGATGACCTGGTTGCTAGCCGGGGAGGTCGGGTCCTTGGTGTACCCCCGGAAGATGGTGGTGCCGCCGGAGCGGGTGAAGACGATTTGCTCCTTGTAAGTCCCCGGGTAGACGAATACGCTGACGGTCTTGGTGCTGGACTCCTTTTGGATGGCGGCGAGGGCTGCGGTGAAAGTTGAGTAGACGGTTTTGCCCGCGATGGGAGATTGCGATATGATATACTCTCCGGCTGCCGGCTCCGTAGAGCTTACTTTGGCGGTGCTGGCACGCTTGGAGAGATCCTCGGTAAGGGCTGAGAGAACAGTTAGAAATAAATTCGGCCAGACTTAGTTTTATTGTGCTGCTACTTACAGATACCCCTTACTCCTGGCGTGATAGATGCCGCATTGGAGATACCGGCAAAGAAAGCTAGTAGAAGGAGAGAAACAGAGAGAAACTCTGCTAGGAGAGTTGCTCTGAATGCTAACATCTTGACGGCTTAAGATGATGCCTCTTGGAATAGAATCCCTTATTGCTATGTCTTGAAATCAGAACGGGAATGGCGATTTATATAATAGCTGAGGACATAATCATTTCTTAGTAACGGCCCATTTGTGGATCAACCCCTGAGGCATGTGGGCAATTAACATGCGATACTATGATACTAGTATACGGTATACGTATATATCTCCACACGTACTGCCAGTCCTGTAATTAGAATTCCTGTCAAAGACACACCGCTGGGCCGAAAGTGTATTTCTTAGTAGCACAATTGATATTGTAGTCTGTCTGACCCACGAGTGGTTAACATTGAAGCCTTACCTCTAATATTAATCGAGACGTAACTCTATCCGGATACAAGCTATGATTGATGGGATAAATGGCACTTGGAGAACAATTGGCAGAGTCTAGAATAATCAATAGGGTCTAAAATAGTTGGTAGGGTGGTAGCCACTCATTCATGAAGGTGACGATATTAAGGACAATAACCGACAGGTCATTAAAGTGATATTTGTAGACTACGTATTACTTACGTCAAATTATCAAGGTTGTGATGACGCCGCTTGATGGTAGGGGTTCTAAACATGTAGTTTGGTAATAAACACTTAACTACCTACCATACCTACCTGGTCACTATCTCAAAAGAGCATCCCAAGTATTCGTTTCAAAGCGCCATCATTAATAGATATTTTCCTAGGAACAGTACTTTGCTCTCTTTCTTGCAATAATACTCCTGGGGAGTCTGCCAGCTATGGGGATCTAGATCTATATCACAATTTTTATTGACCGGGTCAATACGACCTAGTATTGATATCTAGGTACTTTGCCAAAAATACATACATGATCTATACCATAGTAGGCCGCGGACCAAGAATCATAGTAGGGGGTTAGGTTAACCCATCTCGATCGGCTCTGTAATCCAAGCCAAGGCCCCCCGCATCTTACTATTGTGCATATGAAAGCTTCCATACATAATATCTCCGTAGAAATACTATTTCGGCCCAAGAGGGACCGAGGAGTCTGTATTGATGCAGGTCCTGTCTTTTAGGCAGTCTAGATCTCGCAAGAATTGGCGACATCATACCGAGCATTTATGTACAGCGACAATGGCACTGTTGCTGTTATGTTTTATTATGCCTCCTCCAGTCCTGAAACGCTGGTTGGAGTAAGATACACCAATAATCAGACCTCCTGTCGGCAAAATGGTGACATTGAAGGTGTTGGCCTTTGTCGCCCTCACCTCACGAGCAACGGCGTTTTTGGACGCCTCAGAGACCAAAGCCCAGTACCTCCTTCGAAATGACGACCTCTCAGTAGCAGTGAGTAAAAGTAATGGAGCCGTTACTCAGCTTTCACTAGGGAAGCAGGACTTATTAGGTACGGCGAGCGGAAGTGCGGGTAGAGGGCCATATCTGGACTGCTCTTGTATTCCCAGCGGGTTCTGGACTCCAGGTGGCACCGCTCGGTTTAAGCTCATCAAGGGCACTGACTCAACCGGAACACCGTACGGCGGTGTTGTGATGAGCGATACCTACGCTTCTACCAACCAGACGCTGGAACAGTACTGGTTCTTGCGAGAAGGCGAAACGGGTTTACATATGTTCTCTCGAGTCACTTATTTCAACCCAAGGACACCTTTCCTCCGAGGCCTTGGAGAATTACGCACGCTGTTTCGGCCAAACACAAAATTATGGACTCATCTCTCCGGTAGCGAGGGCAACTGGGCACCGATTCCCTCAGCCGATGCTAACAGGAGAGCCATCACCGTTCAGGATGCGACGACTTACCTCGGCAACTCGACGAATGATCCCTACGTAAAACAGTACTCGGATTACTTTACCAAGTATGCCTTTGCTGAGGTTTGGCGTGATCATGATGTTCATGGACAGTACTCAGACGGTTCGACCAGCTCTGACGGAAATGCGTACGGCGCTTGGCTTGTTCATAATACGCGAGAGACGTATTATGGAGGCCCATTGCACTCCGACCTAGTTGTAGACGGTATAGTGGTAAGATCCCCAGTCCCCCCTTTTAAAATTGCATCTCAGTAAATAAGATTGGCAATACTTACACTTCTTATTCCTAGTATAATTACTTGGTATCTGGTCATCACGGCGCGCCAGTTCCAAACATCACTCACGGCTTCGATCGCACCTGGGGACCACAGTATTACCATTTCAACAAGGGTGGACCGAAGACGACGCTCGCCGAACTAAGAGCTGATGCAGCACAATATGCAAATCCGGAATGGAACAGCGAGTTCTATGATAGCATTGCCCAGCACGTGCCCAACTACGTGCCATCGTCAAAGCGAACCACCTTCAAGGCCACGATCGAATTACCCAAAGGAGCAAAGCGGCCACTTGCTGTTCTCTCCGAAAACAAGCAGGATTTCCAACTGAATGTTTTCGACCAGTCTAGTCTGCAGTACTGGGCGGATATAAACCCCGAAACTGGAGCTGTGGAGATCCCCAGAGTGAAAGAAGACACGTATAGACTGACCGTGTACGCCGAAGGTATTTTTGGGTGGTTTATCCAGGATGACATCAAAGTTTCAAAGTCCGCAAGCGACAGTCCATTTAAATTTCGATGGGACCCTGAGAGCGCAGGCAAGGAGATCTGGAGAATTGGCACGCCCGACAAGTCGGCGGGAGAATACAAGCATGGCTACGCGCTAGACACGTCGAAGCCTCTGCAGCCCGCGCAATACCGGGTGTACTGGGCGCACTGGGATTTCCCGAGCGACTTTCCGGACGGTGTGCGGTTCAGGATCGGGGAGAGCACGGAGGCCGAGGACTTCAACTACATCCACTGGAGCTTCTTCCCGGGTAAAGCCAACTTCTTCCGGCCGCAGCCGCACTACGAGAACGTGAATAACTGGACGGTGGAGTTCGACCTCGCGAGGGACCAGCTAGAAGGGGCCACGAAGGCGACGCTCACGGTCGAGCTCGCGGGCGTGAAGACGGCGAACGGGAACGACAAGTGGGCTTCGCTGCCCAAGGAGAAGTACTCCAACGTGCCTTACACCGTGGCCGCAAATGGCCGCGACGTCGAGACGTGGATCATACCGTCGTACCGGAGCGGGTCGTGTGGTGTCCGGAGTAGTGTCGTCTGTCAGAATTTCGGTAAGAAGTTTGAGTTTTCGACCCAAGTTTTGAAGGAGGGTACAAATGAGATTGTGTTGAGTTTGCCGTTTAATGCGACGAATACGGAGACGGCGCTGTTGCCGGGGACGATATACTTGCAGTACGATGCGCTGAGGTTTGAGCTTATCTAGGTTGTTATGGATTATGGAATAGAATCATTGTAATTATTATTGTTGATGTTGTAAAGGTGAGGATACTTTACACGGTCCACTAATGGGAGATGTACGTAGGGATGCTAGGTACCTACCTGTAATACTGTGTTAGGTACCGAAGTGAGCGGCACAAGGATCTATTTATAGAAGGGCGACTGCCTTATCCATACCGTAAACATTACCATCGTAACTGCTGATTGGCATCTGCACCTGATTGATTATCGGTAATCACGATGATTCGTGCAACTCCATTATCGATAACCGCTGATATGGCTCGCCCGCGTTTACCGTGACAATTGACGCGCGACGTCACAATTTCCACCTTACATTCCTTAAAATCCCCCTCCCATATTTTCCTCTTTCATCCATATCTCGAATGAGCAATGCTCTACTACCCCGTGTCGGCATTGCTACGACGCAAATTGCGGCCCAATTCGATACTTGTTAATTCTCCGAATATACGAATATAAACCCGAGGTACCGACTAAAATCTATCGATGCGACTCGAATGGCTACGAATAAATATGAAGATATAGCAGTTATGGATGAGGATATGAAGGGAGAGGGCTACGGAGGACAAGGGAATCGTTTTTATGGAACTGAAAATGGAAATGGAATAATCGGAAGATCGCCAATCTCGAAGCAGAGGAGTTTATCTGATGGCGGAGGCACACAATTATCACCGTCTCCCCATATACTGGAAGCATCGAGACGCACATCCAAAGACGATACCGACCATTCTCTAATTAAGGATAAAAACCAAGACATGACGACAATGACGACAATGGTCACCACAACTTCATCAGACGTTGTCGCAACTACTCCGGTCACACCCAGACGACCAGAATTTCCTATGCGCGGATTGTCGATACAAATGTCACAGTGCGATTCTGTTTCGCCCGCTCAAACGCCCAACCACGTCAAGCTTGCCCCTCTTTCCCCTAAACTTGATCATTCGCAGATCTATGCTTCGCCAACCAACATCCTACCTCGTCGCTCCCGTGGCCTAGATTTCTCCAGAGCCGCCACTAGCTTACATCATTCCACCCTTGCCGAACAATCATCTCCTGATTCTTCACCCACTATCGGCGGACGTGCTATGAACATACCCCGTCGCGGTAACGGCGACTATGGTCAAGAGCAATCCGCCACCTCTTTGTGGTCCATGATGGGTAACCAAGAGCGCATGAACATCTCTAGCTCCATTGGTAGCGCGAACCCCCTGCTTTCCGATTCATCCTCCAGTTCCGGTGATGACGATCCTATGGATGAAGAAATGGAAGATGCCATCTTCAGTACACCTCAGGTTTCGAAGGGCAGCCAACAGCTAAACCTCCCGTTTGGATCCGGCAATAATGTCGTCCCGTGGATGCCGGGGGCATCGGGGGCATCGCCAGCTGTTAATAGTCTTCAGAGCTTTCGAACACGCCCGCGCAGGCATCCCAAAAAGAGACCACGCGGTCTAGCTGGCCTAGGCTTCAGCCACGCTGCTCCCTGCTTCTCCAAGTCTCCGCCGAACAACGTCGTTAAGGATCTTAGGGACTCTTCCATCCCGCATAATCGAAGAGAGAGTATCAGCTGGGCTGCTAACCAGTTGCATATCTCCAGTAGCGAAAGCGATGACAAACCTATAGACGCAAGTGATGCTCTATCGAGGGATGGTACAAGAGGTGTTGTCAAGAGAGCCGTCACGAGGCGAGGCAGTCTACTCGTAAGTCTTGCCATGCGTCCTCTACTAAAGTTACGCCTACTAAACACGCTCTTAGCCAAAAACGAAGGGATTCGCGCGTATTCGCGCCGCTCTTATGGAAGAGAGCGCCCCGGTAGATTCAGAGACTCGCAGAGAAGCCGAAGTTATTCGACAAGTCCGCGAAAGCGACATGGACCTTGAGCCCCGCGTACCACCTAGTCACCCTCCAGCTCTAGACATTGCTAACATGTCTACCGCCCAATCCTCTCCAAACTTAGGTACGACACAGGATCCTCTCGACGACATACCGGAAGACGATATGATGACCGACTCTGGCTTGTCGAGCAGTTTCAAGCAGCAAGCTTTGAGAAACTCCAAGGGCAAAAACTTCTGGGAGAACTTCTCCGAGACGAGCAGCGTCGCAGGCGCGCGAACTACGCCACCGCCCTCGTCCCTCATGCCTAGGGGGTCTTCATCCGGGATGAGCGAGGACATTAACATGGACTCTCCCTCTCTATCGTCAGGTCCTGGCTTGTTTGGGCTAGGTCAAAACGCCGGTAGGACACCTGGAAGCGAGAGTCAAAGATCAGATACCCCACAACAGTCTTCCCTCCCGCCGTCCATGCTTCAAGGAAGCGGCATACCGCCGACCGCAGCGGAGATTACGCGGCGCATTAACAATAAGAGAAGACGTGATGACGATTACTTCGACACGCACGGGCTGAAGAGACGCGCCGTCAGCCCCGGCATGAATAGCGTGCACGGATCGCCGGTGACCCAAAGCCCGCTGCAGAGGGATGGAGGTCCCTGGGGTCCGGGCTCGAGGCCGGGAAGCAATCACGGCGGCGACAGGGAGAGGGATAAAGCGTCGGGGACCGGGACGCCGAGCGAGAACGGGAGTATCGGCGGGAACGCCGGTGGCAATGGCAACGGAAATGGCGGGAGGGTGATCAATGGAAAAGGCAGAGTTGGATTCCAGGGGATGGTGGATACCAACGACGGGCTCATGCGCATGAGCATCGAGTAGTACTGAGGTCGTGCTATGCAAATTTGAGGAGAGAAAGCGATGTGGAAGGCGCCAAAATAAGAGAGAGCTGTTCGCTACGATAGCTTACCTAAACTACAACAGGTAGGTATGCGTAGGGTAGTAGTAGCGAGGAGGTTTTTGCTTGTTAGTTTCCTGGTATGGTTGTGGGAAAATAAGGGGAGCAGCGCAGTACTGTTGATGCTGATACCCCCCTAGCGTGTCTGGTTGTCTCTTTATTGCAAGGCGTTATACTGTAAAGGCGTACTTGTGATGTATGATGATGGTCAATAAAATCATATCATTGTGCTTGTTTTTTTTTTCAGGGGGTGGGGAGGGGTGTTATATCATGGAGAATACTTGTCATTTGAAATTCCATATCCCTCATACTCATTATTCTACACTATAGCACCACTGGACTACCAACGCTTATGTTAGGCGGCTACACGGCTAAGCCTACTTGATCGTCTTCTCCCCAGCTCGGGCTCGAGCTTGATCGGTTTCGCTTCTTCTTTCACCTGCTTGATAGATTTCGAGGATGTCTTCGGCGCGGGCTTTTCTTCCTCCTTCCCTACCTCTTCTTCCTCTTCCGTGACCTTCATAGCTCTCTTCGGCTTTGCAGTTTTCGCCTTCTTGCTTGGACGCTCCTCCGCGTCTACATCCGTCTCCGTCTCCGCTTCGCTCTTTACTTGCTTCTTCCCTTTTCTCTTACCCTTGCCCTGAAAGAAGCGACTCTCCGTCCCATCTTCCGCCTCCGCGGAGCCCTCTCCTTCCTCCCCCTTTATCTCGTCAATAGTAGTCTTCCCCCGCCCCTTCCTCTTCTGCACGCTCGGCACCACGCAACTCGTCCTTCCCCCCACCGTGATATGCACGATCTCCTCGCCGCTCGGCAGCTTCGTCGGGGCGTCCTTCTTCCCCTTTCCCCAGCGGTGCTTGAACAGCCAGTCCTCGGGGAACTCATCCGAGTCCCCCAGCTTTTCCACCGCGGTCTCGCACACGTACCGGATCGCCCGGTACAAGCCGCCGACGTCCGCGTCGGAGACCTCGTCGCAGTACTCCTCCGGGTGCACCCGCGCCTGGTACAGCACCTCGTCCGCCACCCAGTTCCCCACGCCGCTGAGCGTCGCCTGGTCCAGCAGCAGCGCCTTGACGGGCACGTGGCGGCGGCGCATCTTCTCCCGCAGGAAGGCCTCCGTGAACACGTGCTTGTCGACCACCGGGTCCGGCCCGTTGTCGACCAACGGCGGGTGCAGCCGGATGTGCGGCCCGGGGCAGTCGACCAGGCGCACGCGCCCGAAGCGCCGGAAGTCGGTGAAGGCGACTTCGACTTTGTCGGGCGCGCTGGCGCCGGTTGCTGCTTCGAGGTGGAATTTCCAGTATTTGGGCGGCCAGTGCTCCGGCTCGTTCTTGGTCCGCTCGATGTAGCGCGTGTACCCCGTTTGTATGCCCCGGATCTGGACCCAGCCCGTCATTCCTTTTTAATTGCGCGTCAATATCAAACCCAACATAATATAACATAACATACCTTTCACCAGGTTTAGTTATTTATGCAAAAATATATATATAAAAGTAGCTTACCTAGGTGCATAACAGGATGCGGCGGCTGCGACAGGACCATCCAGAAGTACTTGCCCTGGCTAGCGACCTCGAGGACCTTCTTCCCGGCGAGGGCCTTTTCGAACGCGGGGCCGCTGGTCCCGACCTTGCCGAAGATGCTGGCGTCGTCGGGGGCGACGACCTTGGCGATGGTCTTACCCGCCAGGTGGATGCGGAGGAAGTGGACGACGCGAGCGACTGTTTAATACACAACACGCGCGCACACAAACAGGTTAACAATTGATATACATTAGGTTAAGGCAGCGCTTATGAGATTTGCACGCGATTTCATGTTTATGTCTTGCTTACCTTCGGCTATTTCAGGCATAGCAACTGTTCAGAAGAGAGAGTTGACTTATGTATAAGTGAGGGTATTACGGGAGAATTAAACTTAATTAAGTACTTATCAAATATCATCAACCTTCAAATTCGGCTAGGTTAGGGTAGATATGATAATTGTAAGTGCATTTATTTTCATTGTCTTGCTTCGTTACAGTATAGATGGTGATAAGAGGTAGGTGAATTGATTCCTATCTTAGGTGCCTGCAATGGAGTTGTCAGCTGCAAGTAAACAAAGAGGTACGTGATTCATTCAGCCTCACGCCATGGTATTTTCTGTGGCTTTACTCTACCTATGTCTGGCCGTCTGACTCAATTAGGTATTTAAGATATGATGGCCTCGACCCCTTGGCAGTGAGATCGAATGAACGAGAGAGATACAGTAGTTTATTTATTTTTAGTTCTGAAAGGAACTACCTATGTACCTAAACATATGCGAACTCCCGTCTAGAACCTAGAACCGACAAGAAAAGCTTAAAAAGTTGGTATGAAATAGGAAATATCTCATTGGATGGCCTTTCGGAAGTAATCATATCTTATACCTTACCTAAGGTTATTATGTCTTATGCATTTGCATTTTGTGATATTAGCTTCAATGACGACGGGATTTAGGTATTTTCGATTAGGTACCTAGGTACTACCAAGGTGGAACGGGACCAAAGTACCTAGATACAAATACATAGCCTGGAAGTCGGCAAATTTAGGAAATTCTCGGCCAATGACGGCTATTCCCCAAATAAGAAACACTGAGGGAACCTAAACGCCCCGTTTTTGCATGGGCCTATGAAATACAGGCGGGGTGTTTTTCTGGGACAGCGGCTGACAAGCCTGAATCTCAGTGGACGCAAGTAGACGTTAGGCAGGTTGCAGCAGGGGTCGCAGTGGTCGCAGTGGTTGCCACCGACTTCAACAGTGTCCACAATTGCCCACTAAACAATCGCTGAGCTCCGTTTGCGTAACCGGCAGAATTTTTTAAATTTTTTTTTTTTTCGTCGCAGGTGGTGAGCCCCGCGGTCAACTGGATTCAAGGAAATTCGTCCCTCCAATCTTTCTTCTCCTAGTTATGCAGCTGTAACCAAAACTGTTATTACAATCTTCATCATTATCTTCATCGTCATCATCATCATGGACCTTCTCTAGCGTCTCAAGATATCCCTTCTCAAGATATCCGTTGCGAACTTTGTTCATCGTCGCCTCAGCTTGAGACCTGAACTTGTCTTACTCTTTTTTTTCTTCTCTCTTAGGTCTTGTGACCTCTTCTACCCTCTTCCTCTCTCCCGTCTTCCATCAAACTCTCAAGTTATCACTACTACCACCGTCATCGGACCAAAAATAGGGTCGTTCTGCAGCATCAAACCTTGAACATATACTTGAAAACTGCAGATACGCAGATACTACCTACATACGACGCGACCTATAACTATAACACCTTTTATATCCTCCTTCCCCTCTATAAACTACCTCATATATCCATTGTTAAAATTTCTCTTTCTCTTTCTCTTTTTCTCTCGACACCGCCTTTTTTTTTTTTTTTTTTTTCTCTTCTCTTACTAGATCGCATCGCCAACATGGTTAGAAACATCGTTATCCTCTCCGGGAACTCGCACCCAACCCTCTCGGAGTCCGTGTGCAATATGCTCGGAATACCCGCTGGAAACCGTATATTGAGCAAATTTTCGGTTGGCGAGAGCCGCTGCGAAATCAAAGACTCTGTACGAGGCAAGGATGTTTTCATCATTCAGTCTGGAGGTGGCTCCGTGAATGATCATCTCATAGAACTTTGCATCAGTATGGCGCCATAAACCACGAGTTGTCCACATATTGTCGAGACTAACTAAAGTTGAATAGTGATATCGGCCTGCAAAACGGGCTCGGCAAAGCGCGTCACAGCTGTGCTTCCATTATTCCCCTACTCTCGACAGCCCGACCTCCCCTACAATAAGGTTGGGGCACCTCTATCGAAACCTCCCACTGAAGTCTCCAAGGACAAGTATACGTTCGAAAGCGTGCCAGCTACGCCTGCGCCTGGAATCACCAAGAGCGCTAGCTTTTGCAAGGAGACCGACCTTTCCAGGGCTATGAGCAAAACTTCCCTTTCCAATGGACCTGCGAATGGCCTGCCTCGTACCAATAGCGAGAACTATTTCAGCGGCAACGGCAACAGCAACGGTAACGGCAACGCGAACGGAGATATAGCTTCAGCTCAGAGCTACCTGACACATTCCCGTGCAGGGAGCTATACTACCCATGACTACGAGAACCCCGGACTCATCTCTACCTTTCAGGCCAAGCCTGGATATAAGAGATGGGTCGCGCAAGCTGGAACTCTGGTGGCAGATCTGTTGACCTGTGCCGGTGCGGACCAGTATGTGTCTCTTTCAAGGGTGGATATGCTACTGTTACGTCGAGTCTTCGATCTTGAAGCTCCCCCGTAACTTTGTTTCCACTCCGTGCTCTACCAAAAGGATAGTAGCTAACGCGAGCTTTAGTGTCGTTGCTCTAGATCTCCATGACCCTCAATATCAGGGCTTCTTCGATATTCCCATGGACAATCTGTACGGGCGACCCCTGCTAAAGCGATATATACAGCAGAACATTCCCGACTATAAGGAAGCCGTGATTGTGAGTCCAGATGCCGGCGGTGCGAAGAGAGCCACCGCCATTGCCGATAGCTTGGGCATGGATTTTGCCCTCATCCATAAGGTAAGAAGAATGTGTTCGGTACGCGTTTCCAAACTCACTCAGCAAATCTAGGAACGACGACCTACGCGAATTACAGATCGACAAAACGCGACAATGATGCTCGTTGGAAATGTTGCAAACCGAGTTTGTATCCTGGTTGACGATCTGGCGGATACCGCCAACACCATCACACGTGCTGCGAAGCTCGTGCGCAAAGAGGGAGCTACAGCCGTGTATGCGCTCATAACCCACGGTGTGCTGAGCGGCGATGCTATCGCACGCATTAACGCTTCAGCCCTCGATAAGGTGATCGTGACAAACTCGGTCCCTCAGGATGAGCACAAGAGGCTGTGTCCCAAGCTCGAAGTATTGGACGTATCGCCTATATTTGCCGAGGCTATCCGCCGCATCCACCACGGCGAATCTATCAGCGTTCTATTCCAGTATGACTGAGCAATGAGTTCGGCAGAATAGATTCTCGACTTTCGCATCGTTCAAGGCCGCACCGGGTGCGAAGGTTATTACTGCGGAGATAACCTACCAAGACACCGGAGACGAATACGACGGGCCGCATTTAACTATTTGACTATTAGACGAATTACTGGCGGCCACAACGATGCAGTTAACTTATTTCCTGTTTGGGGGAATTCTTTTGAACCCGGGCGTCGAAGTTCGACTTTCATCGTCTCTCGTTCATAAAGGAGTGCACGAAGCCACCGACTACGGCTCCGAGTAAAGGTAGGCTGAACTTATTAGCTGGTTTACTTTTTTTGTCATTCTACCTTCTGCCTACTGCGACTAGGCGTTTATGGTAATGGTTGGAGGTTCTCGCAGACACCGTAGCATCTCATAGAGAGGAGTTTCTAGGTTGGGAAAGTAAGAAAACCTTCTCACAAGCCTACCTCATTGAGGATTGTAAATGCCTACCGACCTGCACCGAACTTCCCGTCTGTGACTTGCATTGTGGTCAGTCTCTTATCACGACGGTACGAAGATGTTAAGTTACTACACAACTGCCTATATACGGGTACGAGTATAGGGTGTTAATTAGGTCCTAGATCATACTGGCTCATATACAAAAGGGTGAGATCAATTTCGGGTTTTCGTATTTCAATATAGACCGAAGGTGACTTGATCGGATACATCGTCATGGTATTACTCTTAATAAAAAAAGATATAGAATTACTAGACGAGAATTACGTCTGAAAAAATAACTTTGTGTAGATTGTGTATGAAGAGAATGCTTCGAAAGAAGTCCACTGAGTGTAGCTCACGAATTATGTATCCTACCTAGGTAGTCAACCAAGTTTATACCCAATGTCTTGGGGAAAGGAGTTGGCACCTAACTTCTATCGATAGATGTTAGTATTGGACGTAACGGTAGTTGAGACGAGATGGAGTTTATCTAAGGTGTTTTTAACTACCGTTTATAATATTATATAATGTATAACACCCGTTTTCATTCAGTATACCTAGCCTAGTGTACCTACAAGCACTCCGTATTAGACGCAGCAAGTACAAATCTAGTAGGACCAATAAGATGTGCCAATTGCAACCATAGTCTGAAATAAGGGCATAAGGGAAAAGGACACTAAATCCTGGGGTAGGTATTTCTACTACCGGTAAAAACGTACCTAAGGGTGAAATTTGCCGGCGCAAAAGTTGGACGTATGATTCAGTGGACCTCGGCATGTGCTTCTTTCGGTTCACTGCCTAGGTAGGTACAATGCAGACAGTACCGTACAGGTCCACTACCTACACCACCACCACCACCACCACCACTACCATTCCATTCATTCCATCTTTTTTATTCCGTCACTTTATTATTACCCATACCACCGCCGGCTGTAGCACGAGGCCGTTCAATAGGTAAATCTCCCCTCTCTAACCCAGTACCTATATTGAATTCGCGACTGACGTTCGCAAAGTGAGATTTGCAACTTTTAGATTTGATTTCGAGTCGAGCGGAATCCAAAGTCAATTCATCGCGGGGACACCCGTGACTTCTTATACCGTCTGTTCTACACCGGCTTGCTTGATTAACCCAAAGCAAGGGAAGGCGAACATCGACTTACCCCGGGATTACCTCGTACAATTGAATTATCGGTTCCTTACCAACTTGTCACAACACTCCCTTCTTCTTCTTCTCTTCTCCGCCTCGATACTACTACTACACCATCATCGGAATTAGGACAATAAGGAAAAAAAAAAGAATAGATAGACTCCACAAAGCCCGCCAAATATATATATATAAAAAGAGAAAGAAAAAAATGGTTGCCGACGCAATAATCTACCACCCCTCGGTGTCCCACTACCTGCGGTTCGTAGCGACGACCGTGGGGCGGGACAAGCTGCTGCGCGTGGTGCAGTACTTCGCGCGGTTCTACGCGTGGTACCTGTACCGGACGAACGGCACGCGGGGGGAGATCGCGCCGTACGAGGCCCTGAAGAAGCAGCTCGCGCTCGCGCGGAAGCTGCTGCGCGTGGGGAAGAACGTCGAGCACCTGCGGGCGGCGGCGGTGGCGGCGGACGCCATCAGGAGCGCGGCGACCAGCACCAAAAAAGCAGGAGGGGCCGGGGCCGGGGATGGGGACGACCCGGTGCTGCAGTACGCGACCCTGGGCAGGCAGCTGGGGTACGCCGGGTACCTGACGTTCGACTCGGCGACGGTGCTGGACGCGCTCGGCGCCAGGAAGTGGAGCGGCGCGAAGAGGCTGCAGAAGGAGGCGTACCGATTCTGGGCGATGGGGCTGCTGTGCAGTATTGTCGCGCAGACGTATACCTTGTACCGGCTGCGGGAGCGGGAGGCGAAGGTGGATAAGAAGGAAGGGGAGGGGGTGGTGGAGAGTAAGAGGATCGCTAAGTAAGTTTTTCTTTTTCTTTTCTTTTCTATCCTATTTTTTTTTCTTTTTCTTTACTGAGGGAAGTTTATACTGACAAGACCGAAGGGAACGTGCTACCAGCCAGCTCCAGCTCGTGTCGGACCTGTGCGACCTCACGGTGCCGACGGCGGCGCTGGGCTGGATCAACTTGGACGACGGGCTTGTCGGGCTGGCGGGTACGGTGAGCAGTTTGATCGGCATCTACCTGCAGTGGAAGAAGACGGCGTAAGGAGACGGAATTACCTACCTATGTGGCAAGGGGTGAAGAGAGAGAAAGAGAGAAAGAGAGAGTCTATGATTATTGATGCTAGGAAGCTGGACAGATATACGCGACACGAGGATGAAAAAAAAAAGTTAAGTTCGGAGTGTACAAAATCAGTGGCATGTTACCAGACCCCGGTTCTAGATGATAAAGACGACGAGCTATGTAGAAAGGAAGTTCGACGATTCTGTGACGTAGGGAGTTAACTGGGCTATGAATTTTGATACAACTTGGAGGCACAGTATTTTCTTTTTTTCTAGTTTAGGTTTTTTTTTCTCCCGACAGACTAATATGAGGTTTCATGCGTTGAGATTGTAGGTGATACGTTTTTTGAAGGATACCGCTATGGTATAATGTTAGTTTTCATTAAAGCTTCGTGTTGCCTACCTCTTATTATAACTAGCCGAGGAGCAAACACTTTTTTATATTGACTAAGTTATGTGACGTTTCTCAGCATCGTTTCCCTCTTTCCTTTCGTCTGCCGGAAAAAAGCCCGTCGAGGAAACACGGAAAATAAGTATTCCATATTAATGGTTGGAGATTCCGATATGTATACCTAATACATAGAGGTACGTCAAGGCCGGAGATTATACGTACTAGATTCAAACCAGTCCATCACATGCAGCTTGCTAGCGTATGACATCAAAGTCCCGAACGAACGGGTTTTAGCACAGCCAATGCATCTGGACTTACATTAGGTTACTGCACGTACGTAAGTCGGTTCGAACTTGTTTTTTCCCCATCCCGTGACGGGCTTGCTTGGAAAAAATACGCTTGGGAATCGTTAAATTTTGTGGCTTTATAGACATAACTCCAGGGTTAAGCTTTGGTATAACCTGAAGAGTATTGTACAGTTAAAAGAATTAGATTAGGTATAGGTAGTCCTAACATAACTTGCATAAAGGACCACTGCAGCCAAGGCATCGGACAACTCGGCCGAGCTAAAATAATAATAAAAATAAAGAGTTGTTGATAGAAGCTTAACGAATTTAAAAAGCCGGGAGGAAAGTCGATCTCTTTAGGTACATAAGATTTACGCTAAGACCGTAGTCGAACTTGGCACGGGGTATATTCTCAACATTTGATTGGTTGATAGATGACTTACACCAACCTCGCATACTATGTAAGCGACTTTATCATCGTAAGTTTGTTGGTTTTTACTATTTACTAGGTACTGCAGGACTGCAGGAGTGGCTTATACGGATAGGGAAGGTTGGATGCTGTTTGTTACCTAACCAGGTGGAGGGCAACGCTATCTCGTCCCCTAATCAAGCCAAGGATGCGTAACCCAGTTGGAAAAACAAGACCCAGCTAGAAAGAGAAAGAAAAAGATAGGTACCTTTACGCTTATAAGCCTGCCGGTAGGTACTATGTTGGGTATAGGCTAGGTACGTATTATCTGTTTTCTATTTTTTTATTATCTTTTTATTGATAAGTACCCAAAGCAGGTACCAGGTATTATATTTTTCTTATCATGTCTCTTCTTTATTAATTGCTTTGCTCTTCCGCAATCTTGTCTCGTTGCTCTTCGAGCTTCGAGCTATCTGGCGACAAGTTTCGCTTCAAGTAATCCCTCTTCGCCAGATCCTAAGATAATCTCTCTCCCTCTCCATGTTATATTGATATTTTACCGGGCATAACAATTACCTATGAAGCCTTAGTTATTTTCACTTTTCTTTTACTTATTATAGTCCAACCCGTTATCGTTGCTTCGACTCCTGTTAGTTCAACAAACTATAGACAATGTTTTGGCACAAGAAGGAGGAAGAGGAACAAGTGGTGTCCTCAGAGGTCCTCGCTGATGATGCAGCTCCTCCAATCGACCACAAGCCCTTCTGGCAAGCAATTTGGCCTGTTCTCGCTTGCGGCGCTGGTCTCTTTTCCGACGGTTACGTCAACAATGTATAACTACCTCCCTTACTCTTTATTCTCTAGGCGCGAGTTGTCGGCTTACACTTTTGCGCCACGTAGGTCATCGGTTCCGTAAACACGGTGCTAAAATACGAGTACGGAGATGTCTACAGCAGCTCCAACGCCGCCAGCGTGGTACCAGCTATCGCCTTCGCTGGAACGGTACGACTTCCCGCCAAGATCTTGTGTATTCGATAGATTTAAGCTTACATAGCAATGCGTTCTTCTAGGTGGTCGGTCAACTTTTATTCGGGTACCTGTCCGACAAGTGGTCGCGCAAGGATTCCCTTCTTATTTCCACCATCATCCTTATCCTTTTTACCGCTCTCGCTGCTGGTTCATACTACCGCGGCGATGCCGTGGGTATGTTTAACATTTTGACCGCATGGCGCTTCTTTGTTGGTATTGGTATTGGAGGTAAGACCACAGCTCAAGATCTAGGCGATCGGACTTGTATAGGTAACTAAAATACATATGTAGGCGAGTATCCCGCTGGTAGCGTGAGTTGCGCGGAGTCCAGCGGTGAGCTGAAGGGAGGCACTCGAAATACCTGGTTCATCTTGTTTACAAACTCTATGATTGACTGGGGTTTTGTATTCGGAGCATTCGTCCCATACGTCGTCGCTGCTGCAGCCCATAATACTCACTACAGCACAATATGGAGAACGAGCTTGGGAATCGGCGTCGCTTTCCCTCTGGTCCTCTTCCTTTTGCGTCTTAAGCTGAAGGAACCTGAGGAATTTTCGAGGAACTCGATGAAGCAGTAAGTCTACCTCTATAACTTAGGTAATTCCACTTTGCTTTAATACTCTCTCTCCTTCAACGAGTTATATAGTATTAAAACAAGACCTCACAATGCAAAACGAAGATATTTACTAACTGCTTGCGTTATAGCGTCAAAACTCCGTATCTCCTAGTGATGAAATATTATGGGTTTCGGTTGCTCATCGTCAGTCTCATCTGGTTCGTATACGATGTGAGTATATGGTCTCTATTTACCCTTTATATACCCATATATATCTTTCTAACCTTGCTAGTTTTCTGCCTACTCGTTCTCAATTTACTCAAGTGCCATTCTGTCCAATATTTATGGAGATACTGGCGTCTTAACAACTATTTTCGGATGGAACACGGTTATCAACTTGTTTTACATTCCGGGAACTATGCTTGGGGCTCCAATTAGCGATCGTCTAGGCCCTCGATATACCCTCATCTTGGGCCAGACTCTACAGGCGGTCGTGGGCTTCATCATGGCTGGTTGCTATGCAAGGTTATCCCACCCTTCGGTGGTTGGTGCATTTGCAGTAGTATACGGTATTTTCTTGTCTCTTGGCGAGTTGGGACCAGGAAACAACATTGGTCTTTTGGCTGCCAAAACTTGCGCCACGGGCGTCAGGGGACAATACTACGGTATCGCTGCAGCGCTTGGGAAGATTGGCGCTTTCGTGGGCACCTACGTGTTCAAGTATATCAATTCGTCAGACGGTGATGATGTCAAATCAGCACAGTACAAATTCTACGTCAGCTCGAGCTTATGTGTCTTCGCCTCCGCGCTCGCGCTACTGCTCCCCAATATCGACCAGGACACCATTACAAAAGAGGATGCCAACTTCAGGGCGTACTTGGAGAGCAAAGGTTGGGATACGAGACAGCTCGGCTTGAAGAAGGGGGAGAGTATCGAATCGATACCGGCGGAAGCTGAGGACAACACCGTCAAGGTGGCGAAGGCCGAATAAATAGGTACCTACCTAAGGTAAGTAACCTGAGGTAAGTAGGGGTGATTGGCTGAACGTTTCGTTGGATACCCCCTTTCTAGACTAGATAGATTAAATAGTTTAGATGGTGATTTTATTTTGGATGACGAGTAGAGTATTATAAAATATATTACCTATACTCCTCCATTCTGGTTTAACAGGTACCTAAGTAAATACTACCTACTACTTGTTGCTTGTCCGTGCATCGTCAAAAAAATGAGAACGCCCCGGATATGAGCGTAGTTGCGATACTGCTGCTTACGCCCAGCCCAGTTTAATCAACCTTTGCTCACACGACTACGAGTCAGTACAAGGAATATCATAATGGTGAATAGAATTGGTTGGGTTAGGCAGGTATTCAGTTACGACAGGAAGAGAATCAGATTCAATCTTCGTACCCGAGTTCAGCAAAATCTTGTTATTCAGACTCGACTCAAGAATCGCCCAATCGCATAAACAAAAATAAGACAACCCAGCCGTGCATGTGCATATTGGACCCTCTCCTCATCATGCTCATCATAATCCTTAACACAAAACCATGAACATTATTTTTTTTATAAAAAAAAAAAAATCAAAATCATTTAACTTTCTTTATTCGTGCGCCTGGGTATGCTAATGGAAAACAGATCTATCTATCAACATTTTACAGCTCGTCATGTGGTGACGGCTCGTCGTCGTCTGCGGCACCTCCCGCATTGCTGTAAATCTTAGATGTGATCGGGTAGGCAACGTTGGAGAGTTTCTCCTTTTGCTCCTCGAAGTCCTCAGCGCTCGCCGTAGCGGCGTTCTCCTCGAGCCACTCGGTGGTCTCCTTAACGGCGTCGAGAATCTAGTTACGGGGGTTAGCGACAGGATAACTTCAAAATTAGAAACTTTCAACTTACGGCCTCCTTGTCTTCCTCATCAATCTTACCACCAAGGCCATCCTCATCGTTGACCTGGTTCTTCAAGTTGAACGCGTAGTTCTCGAGACCATTTCGAGCCTCGATACGCTCACGGGTAGCCTTGTCCTCCTCGGCGAATTTCTCAGCCTCGGCGACCATGCGTTCAATTTCTTCCTGGCTGAGTCGACCCTTGTCGTTGGTGATGGTGACGGACTCGGTGTTTCCGGTTCCCTTGTCGTGAGCCGATACCTTCAGGATACCGTTGGCGTCGAGCTCGAAGGAGACTTCGATCTGAGGAACTCCGCGGGGAGCCGGAGGAATGTTGGTAAGCTCGAACTTGCCGAGCAGGTTGTTGTCCTTGGTCATAGATCGTTCACCTTCGAAGACCTGGATCAAGACGACAGGCTGGTTATCAGCGGCGGTAGAGAAGATCTGGCTCTTACGGGTCGGGATAGGGGTATTGCGAGGGATAAGCTTAGTCATGACGCCACCAGTGGTCTCAATACCGAGAGTCAATGGGTTAACGTCCATAAGAACGACATCCGAAGCACCCTCATCACCGGACAGGACACCAGCTTGAACAGCAGCACCAAAGGCAACTGCCTCGTCGGGGTTGATACCCTTGCTGGCCTTCTTGCCGCTAAAGAACTCTTCGAGGAGGGCCTGGACCTTGGGGATACGAGTGGAACCACCGACGAGAACAATGTCGTCGATCTCGTCCTTCTTGATCTTGGCGTCGTCCAGAACCTGCTTGACGGGCTTCAGAGTTCGCTTGAAGAGGTCAATGTTAAGCTCTTCAAACTTGGCCCGGGTAAGAGTCTCGGAGAAATCCTTGCCCTCGTAGAAGGCTTCGATTTCGACACGAGTAGACATCTGCGAAGACAGAGTTCGCTTGGCCTTTTCGGCTTCGCGCTTGAGCTTACCCATGGCCTTGGGATCTTTGGTGATGTCAACCCCGTTCTTCTTGTTGTAGTTCTTGGCCCAGTGGTTGATGATCCTCTGGTCGAAATCCTCACCACCCAGGTGAGTGTCACCAGCGGTAGCCAAGACCTCGAAAACACCATCTTCGATAGACAGAAGGGAGACATCGAAAGTACCACCACCAAGATCGTAAACGATGATGTGACGCTCACCACCAGTCTTGTCCAGACCGTAGGCGATGGCAGCGGCAGTAGGCTCGTTAACGATTCGAAGAACGTTGAGACCAGCGATAACACCGGCGTCCTTGGTAGCTTGTCTCTGGTTGTCATTGAAGTAGGCAGGGACAGTAACGACGGCGTGGGTAACCTTCTTGCCCAAGTAGGACTCGGCAACCTCCTTCATCTTGCCTAGAATGACGGCAGAGATTTCTTCGGGGGTGAACTTCTTGGTGGAGCCCTGGAATTCGACTTGGATAATGGGTTTGCCATCCTGTTCAACCACCTTGTAAGGGAAGTGCTTGATGTCATTTTGGACTTCTTTCTCGTTCCACTTTCGGCCAATGAATCGCCTTTAAGTAAAAAATGGCGGTTAGTCGATACGACCTTTTAGTTTAATCAAGACGGTAATAGAATCTGTAAAACTTACTTGACATCGTAGATAGTGTTTCTGGGGTTGGAAGCTGCCTGTTGTTTGGCGGCATCTCCTACCAATCGCTCCTCGTCTGTGAAGGCTACGTATGAAGGGGTAATACGGTTTCCTTGGTCGTTGACTAGAATTTCAACCTTGCCCTGTTGCATCACACCGACGCAAGAGTATGTGGTTCCCAAATCCTGTAGGAAAGAAGAAAAAAAAGATTGTTAGTCATAAGTCATGAACACGAGATAGCAGCTATGCTAGGCAGCTGTGCTAGGCGGGGTTAAGAGGTAGAGAAAACTACTTACAATACCGATAACAGTGCCATAGTCAGCGACGTCGTCTGCTCTCGCAGTTCCGACGAATGCTAGAGGGCTGAAGAGGAGAAGACTCCATGCTATCATGCCAAAGGCGATAGTCCAGTAGCTCTGTGAACGAGCCATGGTGGGGGAGGCGTTTGTCGCAGAGAGGATGACCAACAATGCGATAGCAGTAAGGGTATCAGATGAAATAGGAATAAGAAGAGAAAAGGAAAAGGAAAAGGAAAAGAAAGAATCAAGTACTATTAGCTATAACTAGCTCAAGTACTTTTTCAACCTCTCCTGCTCGGTTGTGGTGTAATGACACTAGAAGACTAGTGAAATGTGAGGAGAATAAGAGAAGAATTTGTCGACGCACAAATGATGTGTCTGAGAAATTCTTATATGAGTAGAGGAAAATGATCGAGATGATGTTGCCAGCTTGCAAGAAGAACACATTGCAATAAAGTGAATAAAGTGTGGACACATTACCTACCTAAGGTACCTAAGGTACCTAATACCTATACCTTAGGTACATTCACGTACCTAGGTAACCTGTAGAACTTGACAGATAAACAAATCTGACAGGTATGTTAGAGGTACCTAATTGTATTAGGAGGGGTAGGTATGTAGGTACCTATGTATGTATGATAAATAAGTGGATCCTTACCTAAGGTAGGGAAAAGAAAAAGGTTAAAAAATATTTCCACCTTGGAGTAGTAGCTGGAACCTTCTTCGCCTCTCTGGCGCAGAACATTGAAGCCAGATTGTCCCAACTCTGTTTTGAGCCCCAGCCCCCCCGCCTCATGCGGGACATCCCTGTTAGCCTCCTCAGCAATAGACCTACCTAGCAGAATCGCGTCAAAAAAGATGCCCCATCCCAAACCCAAATACAATTATATTACTACAACTTCAATTAAATGTAAAAAAGTCAATTCTAGGTCAATTTAATATCAAAAATAATTATAAGATAGCTTTAGTATTATTCTGCAGGTTTACAATATATTAAATCAATATGTGATGTTGCTAAAGCGTTATTAGCAATGAAAATAAGAGTATGTTTTGGAATATTAGGTACTGGCTAGGGGGGGCATCTTTTTTGACGCGATTCTGCCTAGGTACCTTAGCAGCTTAGGTACCTACTATGTTAGGTAAATATTCATTATCCCATAAAATAAAACACAGCAAGGTCACCAGATTTATATCTATCGAATTATCGTGTGTATACACCATGTGTCACCTTCCATCACTCCTAATCGTACCTAGTGACATCCCATTGCGCCGCTTTCATTCTAATAACCCGGCGGCAACTGTCTCACCTCCACATCTGAGTACCACACGCTGGCCTGCTTCCAGAGGTACCTTCGTCGACATTTTAACTACCACTCTCGCCACGCTTGCCGGCTTCACTATCTTGGGCTTCTTTTTTAATACGGTGCCTCTAGTTTTGTCGAGCAGCGCTGATATCTCTAGGATCTGACCCGCGCCGTGCAGACGGCCCCTGTGTACATCTACCTGCATCGGCATCAGTATGTCGAACGCTAGTACCTTAACTGTAAACGTGTCGACACAGTCGATTGGTTGTTTCGTATCGCAGATAATGTCTCCAACCCGTACGTGTATCGGATCGATATTGCTGAGGTGCATGACCATGTTCTGTCCCGCCACAGCCCACTCCACTGGCTCGTGATCAAGTTCCAAAGACTTGACGTACGCTTTCTCGCCGCTCGGCTGGATCATGAGTGCATCGCCCACCTGTAACGAACCAGCGTCTATCCTTCCGGATACTGTAACCGGGCTTTGCGTTGTCCGGTATACCTCAGAAATAGTCAAACGTAGAGGCTTGTTCAATGCCCGGGCCATTGGCTCCGAGTTCTCCAACTCCTCCACGAGAGTTCTTCCACTAAACCAGCTGGCTGCTGGTTCTGCCGATCTTTTTACTATGTTGTCTCCATGCAATCCTGACACGGGGACAAAGCTGATATTCCTGAGCTGAAAACCCGTTGCCGAGAGGAAGCCAGATACTTGTTGCGAAATCTCATCAAACCGTTCTTGCGACCAGCCGATCGCGTCCAGCTTATTGGTCGCGACAATCACCCGAGACACGCCCATACTGCGAAGGAGAAGAGAGTGCTCTCGTGTCTGCCCTTTGAGCCCAGCTTCAAACGCGCCGGTCGTAGCATCGACTACCAAAATTGCGAAGTCCGCTTGACTTGCACCGGCAATCATATTAGGAATGAAATCCCGATGTCCAGGTGCATCTAGAATCGTAAAGGACGTATTTTCCGTTTCGAACTTATTTGTTGCGATGTCGATCGTTACGCCCCTCGATCGCTCTTCCGACCGTTGATCCAACACCCACGCAAGCGCAAACGAAGATTTCCCTATGCTTTCCGCCTCTTTGCGGTATTTCTGTATCGTCCTCTGGTCGACAACATTAAGATCGAGCAATAGGCGCCCCATTAGAGTACTTTTACCGGCATCCACATGGCCTTGTATAAAATTAGATTAGCATATTTATCGACGCAAGTAGACCGATTCGCAGCCCTTACCGACGACTACGAAGCTTGCATTCTTTTTGCTCTTGGACCTTTCGAACTCCTTGAGCACGTCGACATTCTTGCTTTTAGGTAACGGCGCATCAGGTATTTTGAGGCCTTTCACACCGCCTGTGATTTCTTCGACCTTTCCCGCGCTAGCCTTCTTCTTGGTTGTACTGGCAACACTCTTCTTGCTGCTTGCTGATCCCCAAGGATTAGTATTCTTATTTCACAACCTTTTTCGCTAAGAGCGAACCTTGGGACTGTGCTGCCAAGACTACATCATCTGGGCTTGGCGCTGAGAATGCGTCAGTTACTGATGAAGTCAAATTGATATAAGGAAATGGGTAAGTCTTTGGCGGCGAGGTAGTAGAACGCTTAATGGACCCGAGAAGAGCCTGGGCAAAGGGAGATGGTGCAGCAGCGGCAGCAGCCTCCTCCTCGAATGGCACAGCTGCCGGTAAAGATTCCGTAAGTTCAGGTTCAGGTGAGTGGGTTGGCACGGGCCCGGCTCTCTCTAGCTCACTTTGGAGCTTGTTCTCTATAGTCTTGGCTACATTTGCACCTGGGAGCCCCGTAGCCTCTCTCTGGATTTCTGAGGCCGGTCGGAGGTTCTCTTTGGTGGATTCAGGTTGGACTGAAGTGGTGGAGAGGTAGCTTAAATTTCGTGTCGTGGCTTGAAGTTGTTTCTCGTCTGATTTCTTCTCGTCCGCTTTTTTCTTACGAGCAATGGCAAGTGCTTGGAGTTTAGAAACTTTGCCGGCAGGGCTAGCACCTCCTAGTAAGCCGCCACGGGGTCGTGATGGCATTATGAACGTGGTTTCTCGGTTCTTTGGGATATTTAACCATGGCATATCGCTGAAGAAGCCGGCGAATGAGACGTGCCGTGCACGGGATTCACCTTTACCGCAGCTTCAATGTTAGCTCAGCGGACAAGCTATGATGCCCGATACATGTACTCTAAGACGCACCTGGGCTGATGAAATGCTGCTGGCCTGCGGCAGAGAACTTGGCAAACGTGCAATGCATGTCGGGTGGCATGGTAGGGCAATAGTAAAATAAGAAAAACGGGTTACCTACCTCCCCCTTTCTTCCTCGTTGAAGGTGCGACATATTTGGCCGTCAAATAAGTCACAGACTTATCGACATCGTAATAGTAATGCCATAGCGCATCTTGGATTTGCTGGGTGGTGACCTTGGACGATTCGAGTCCGAGAGCGGCTCGCACCTGGGCCGTAGCGAGGTTCATTTGAGCTTCGTTTTAGTTATTAGCAAGGGTCAATATACCACGAAATCTATTTCGCTCGTGTACCTTGATCTTCCGGGCTTAATTCCTCTTCTTCATCTCCAAATTCGTCTCCGTCATATTCGTCGAGATCATTCTCGTAATCGTAATTACGATATGCTTGGTGGCGTGACATTGTATCAATGTCAATAGGTATAAACTAGATACCTAAAGGACGACAGTAAGAGGCTTCAGGTTTATGTTGAAAAGTTGATATAACTCGATAAGGGGAAGGGATATGAGCTTTGAAGGAAAGGATTAGATACCTTAGGCCTAGATTGAAAGGGAAGAAAAGAGGGGCAGAGCAGAAGGGTTTACCTAGCAGCCTAGCAGGTTAGAGGGGCAGAGGGGCAGAGGGGCTACAGGTACCTTAGAGGGGTTAAAGGACTCAAGGGGTTTTGCGCTGCTAGGTACCTAGGTACTTATTTGAATTGATGACGTAGCCAAATTCGACCCTTCTACCTACCTAGGTACCTAAAGCCTGGGCCCTGCTTACATAGTACGGTACAGGCTACATGCAGGTACCTAGGTACCTAAATACCTGGTACGTATACATTACAGGCACGTGTTAGGTACCGGGCTTCCCCCCCCTTTCCATAATTTCAAGCCCCTATCTCACCAATACCCGTCTGCGCTTTCGGAATCCTGCTATTCGCATTTCACATGTCAAAGAGGAGGAAGAGGTCAGCGAAAATGGAGAGAGGAGGTATACAACGGTGCATCTGGATCGGAATCTGGCAGTTTGCTATACGGCCCATGCACGGCACCTCTTAGCAAAGGATTTTCCTTGGTCCATTTGACTAAGTACTTTAAATAGATATGCTACTCATATGGGGGCTGGGTTGTGGTTTTTACTAATCCCATTCCCTTCGAGTGACCAAGTTCGACCTGCTTTTACCTTACCCACCATACTATAGGTCAATCAAGCTCTCTTCTATGACAGGCTGCTGAGGAGTATGTTGGGGAACAGCGGGAAACGTATCCTGACCGTATCTTGAGTATCCCGGACTCCCCGTCTGATATGCTTGAGGGGCCTGATCTCCGTTTTGCTGCTGCTGCTGCTGCCAATATGGCTGCTGCGCTTGCTGCTGATTAGGTGGCTGATAATGTTGCGGGGCTTGGGATGGTTGCGAAGGGACAGAGGCAGGTGTTGGAGGGATAGATTGCCTAGCATGGCTTAAGCTCTGCTGAAGGCTTGGATATGGTGACAGCGACGCTTCTAGATGAACACTCTGCGTAGTAGGGTCACTGCTCGGCTGAGAGCTATTATAATAATAACCGGCATTGGGGTCGACTCCCGGTGCCACCACTGGCTCGGTGGCTCTGTTAATAGGAGTTTGTGGGGAAGGATGGGATACGTGGGTAGGCTGAGGGGGAACATCGTTAGGTGTGAAGTTGGCTTGACTAAGATACTGGGCTGGTGCGGATGGCCCCTGTGGTTTTTGCCAGCCCTCGTTTCCTTGCCCAACATGATGCGGATACTGGCTGCTCGATGGTGCTGATACCGAACCCCTCTTGTCGTAGCTTGCGAATTGTTGCGGCTGCCCTGGCTGGACGTGTTGTAGATATTGGTGGCCTGCAGATTTCCTAGTAGGATCCGGAAGCGGGTCGCCAGTGTAGAAATTCTCTGCAGACGTAGAAGTCCTGGCGGCGTTGGATTCCATTGTGGGATACTGGCCTACCTGCTGTGCGGAGTTGGGTAAAGCGTAACCACCAATGTTATGTTGGCTGTAGGCTTTCGAGAGGCGCTCCTCTAGCATCCTATCATAATATCGCACAACAGTAGAAAGTTTAGCATGCAGGTCGAGTAGGGTATCTAAGGCGCAGTTAGCTAGCAGTCTTTGGCAATCTTTAGAAGATGACTTACCGTGCTTGCTCATCGTTTCGCCGTACGTGCGCGCTAGTTTGGGCCGCAGCGCCCCAATAGAATCATAAAGCTCTTGGATCTGCGGCTCTCTCAGGATTGTGCCTGGAGGTTGGGTCTGCAGCCTGTCGACTAAGGTTGAGAAGAGATTGATATTTTCGGCTTCAACTGGACTAAGCTCGTAATCGTTCTTGGGCAAGGCAAATGGGGTAGCTGAGACGTTTTCAACCTTGTTTGTTTGTTGTTTCAAGGCTGCAGAATGCTTTTGTTTTTGCTCTTCCATGTCTGCCAGAGATGCTGCGATGGCAGCCTTCAAGTCCTCATCCTCGTCTTCAGTTGTAGCGGTAGCCACTGGTGTAGAGGAGTGACCGCTGGCCTTCGCATGTGGCGGGTGGGTAACGTTATCGGTAGGAGGGGTATAGCCCTTGGAGTGACTTTGAACCTCCTCTAGACTCATAGCTAAAGCCTTCTTGAGGTCCTCATCAAAGGCGTCGTCGACTCGAGCATTCCGAGGCAACATTGCGGACGAAGTACGGGTTTTATGAAATGAAGGGCTCGTGGGAGAGCGTCGTTCCTGTTTCCCGAAGTTGGTTTTATTAGACCTGTCCGTTAGCCTGGCGTAGCAACCATCGTCTACCCGCACAGGTTGTAGGATACCCAAATGCGGGAGAGGAAGTGTCTTGGTAGAACATTGCTGATCGAAGCAATTACCGCAATTACGGCAATGATGTTTACGGTTTGTGAAGGTGAATGGGGTCCGGCACCGCATGCAGACATCGGAGTCGGTCCATTCTGGGGGCTATGATAAACCAGTTAGTTCTGCCTTATCCAAAAGGAGCGGATATAATATGATATAATGCGATATAACCATGCAATACGTACGGCGCTACTGTCAATCATGCTGCTCGCCACGGTTGTTCGGGGGGGGAATTGGAAGCCCTCTCTTTGCAAGGCTCTGTAGGTCTCGTCGATATATTTTAGGTCATAGCGACCTTCGGTAGCGACGGCCCAGGATTGTATCAACTCCAAGATCTTCGCTCGGACCTCGACATTAACTTCGGCGGGACCAACTGCGTGGAGAAGAGATACTAAATTGTCCATAAACTCTCGTGAAGCAATCTCGACAAGGAAATGCGAGCCGCCGTTCTTGACGCAAGTGTCCGTCAACTACGCTAACACGTCAGCATCGTGGTCGAAGCGCGTAGGAACTTATGCGCTTTATACGGCCGGGAGGATTGTCCGTACATTTAGCGCGCTCAACTGGGTGTTGGGATTCTTGTTACCGATGCGACGCTTCAGCGAGCGCATGGCTTCTTTAGGTTGGACCGTCTTGGACCTTATAACGTCGGAGATCTCGAGGTTAAGGGGAATATCCTCTCTAGATTTAGATGGTAAATTAGTAGTGAGCGACCTTATGAACCTGAGGGGGAATGATAATTTGTAGAAAAGACCTACAAACTACTACCGGTTGCTTTGTCGATCTGTTCGTCCAGGGCACTATTGGCCGAGGACGACCACCAACCTCCCATCATGATGAGGAAAAGGAGAGACGTTCCAAGTTCTGGGAAAGAGTTGAGTATTCTTCTTGAGGAGACGGCGAACGTTATGATATAAAATCTAGACAGTTGGCCTGTTTGGTTGATTCAAAGAGAACTTTAATGCGTGAGCTACTACTGATTGTAGTATTGTATTGTGTTGTATTGTATTGTATTGTTGTAGAGGTATGCCAGGATGCCTGGATGCCTGGATGTTGTAGTAGGCACCATACCTCTGCTAAGTGCTCAGGTGCTAAAACTGCGGTAGGTACCTAATCTAACGCTAGGTAGCCGCCACTCCCGCTACTGCGTTAGGTACTTGGATACCTACCTCTTAACCTGTATATCTACCTTAGTACCTAAAGTATCCACTACGAGATACTGTTTACATGTCACTAGAGCTACCTATTAGGTACCGTATTACGTAGTTCTTCTCATGTCATCAATCATCCAGGCTTCCATGGCTCTACTTATATAAGTACCTAGGTACCGATATAGAGCTACCTTGGAAGACCGAAGTAGATTAGGTTAGGTACCTCCTAAGGTAGCTTCTTAGGTAATGCAGGTTATACCTTGCCTCTACCTAGTACTTCGTATGTTTCGTATGTTTCGTATGTAATTAATAAAATAAAATAAAAAGCTACCCTCAATCATACCTCATATACAAATGCCTTCTCCATAATATGCCTTTTTTAAAGATCCGGATAGCTCTCAAGCCTTACCCATTGTCCCATTCACTCACCTCTCTTCCCTCTTTCTTTTATTCCCTGGGTTCTTTCAGCATTCCGTTCCCGTCCCTTTCTTACCTTTTGATCCTCTAGTGCCGCGCCGTTCACAGTGCCGGCTCTTCTTTGAAAGAATGACTCTTCATTCCAGTCTTTGCCCCTAGAACAATAGTGGTACATAAAGTTCTCCTCTCCGACCGCCTCCTCCTTTCCGTATCTATTGTCAGATAGCACCTAATTGGTATATCTTGGGTATTGCTTCAATGATAACATGAGTTCCATTACGTTCGCGAGAGCTTCAATCGCTCCAATGGTTGGCGGTCATGACACAATGTCCTCTGGTACAAGCAACGATCGTGGGACCGCTGCAAGCAGGATCGATGTCCACTCACCCGGTGCTGGCTCAGGTACAGGAAGGCCACCGTATCGTCACATAGACGATCTAGTGTCGGTTAGCGTCGACCTCGACCCTCACACCCCTTTGCGAAAGGTCCTCGAGCTTGGAGATGGCCATATGCGACAGGCCATAACGTATAGCGATTTCCACCGTCCAGACCTAGCACTACAAGAGTACATCAAAGCATTTACGATCGCTGTTGATAAAGTGCCCAAGCACAAAGAATACCCATCAATGAGTTCTGATCGAGGAGACCTAAACCGCTTGTACAAGGCTCTCAAGATGAAGATAACTACGAATGGGGCGACCTTCGACAAGATTAAAGAAGACATCAAAGAGAATAACAGGCGGAGTGGTGTACAACCGACGAGATCTCCTCAGCGCCCTGCTGATGCTCTAAATAGGGCTAATAATGCGCATGATGTCAAGGATAGCATCGTTGGAGAGCGCAGGCCAAAGCCAACGGTTCAACCGAAACCAGAAGCGTTGCATGGAAAAGCTATCAAACAAACCCCTACTACCCACTCTGAAGATCTTACAAATAGATTTGCGCGGTTGCGTGATCCTCAAAAGTCTCGAAAGGTAGCCGAGGTAGTTAGCCAGCCATCGGCTGGGGGTGGACAATCTACTCCAAGCCAGGCGCTATATTCAGTCGATACAGCTATGCCAGTCATGCCAAAGCTCCCCGAAGCAATTTACAGTCCAGCGAGAGGTACTGTAACCAGTGAGCTCGCCAACCTTCCATCCAGTACCCCTCGCGGAATGTTTAGTCGGACGAACTCGACTGCATCGTCCCCTAGTGTCTCAGCTCGCATATCGACGGAAAATGCCATCAGACTCTTTGGCAGAGAGCAGTTCGCAGCCGCCCATTCTTATCGAGCAGCGCAATCCTCCGCTACTCCGACTAAAGTTCCAATTCCGAATGGCGATGACATCACGGCCGCCGCACTTGCGGAACTCATAAGCAAGTACCCCCAGGTCGATGTTTTGGTAATAGATATTCGGGATCGGGAGTCTTTTGACGAGGGGCATATCAAATCAGCCAAGACGGTTTGTATCGAGCCTGAGATTCTTATGCGAGAGAACGTATCCGCGGATGAGATTGCTGATAGCATGGTCCTTGCTCCTTCAAATGAGAGGCTCGCAGTCGAGCAACGTGACAGGGTTGACTTGGTAGTTATCTATGATCAGGATAGCACATCAATACCGTCTAGGATAACCGGAAATTCTTTAGAAATGGTCCTGTATAATATCCGACAAGCCCTGTCGTACTATAGCTACAGCAGACCGCTCAAAAATGTCCCAAAGCTGCTGAGCGGTGGTCTGAATTCGTGGGTTCTCGAATTTGGAGAAGCATCCCTTGAGACTTCTGGTACAATATCAAATAGTATGTCTCCAAGCTCGGCGTTGAGGCGAAAGTACGGCGACAGGAGACGATCTCGGACTAAGACACTCAGTCAAAATGAGATTAGTCAATTTGAAGAAATGATCAAGAATGACCGAGTACGACTTGACAATTTCGACTATGTCAAAACCAGGGAAGACTTCATCCGCCGCTATCCAAGCATAAGAGGCGACCCCGAATCTATGACTTCTGTCAAGGAGGATTTGGATTCGCAGGAAGACTTCCTGGCCAGCATAGCTCCCGCACCTCCCAGACTACCGGCTCCCGCTCTTCCAAGAACCAGATATAGTGGCTTGGAATCCAGAGATGTCGACTCTGGTGTTGGTGGTATTGCCATGGCAGCAGACCCAGCGTCGGCAATATCTGCTCGGCCTGTGACTGGACTCCATAACCCTGGCAACTGGTGCTATTGCAATTCAGCTTTACAAGCATTAGTGGTTTCACCTGGGTTTATTATCGAGCTATTCCAACCCGAATGGCCTCAAAATTGGCGCTGGCCCACAAACAGGGAACCGGCACAGGCACAGCTACTATGCCGTCTTTTAAAACCCCTGCTAATGTGGTTGGCCAAGAGAGTAGTCAAATCAATATCAGCTACTACAGTTATGGTAAGTCTCCCGTATTAAATATTCCATATGATCTTTACTGACGTGAACTTAAGAGATATTTAGAATCCATACACGAAGGGTACAAAGATGTGAGCGGAAAAATTATAAGGTTAGGCGATAACTCCCAACACGACGCCGACGAGTTTCTTAGCTTCGTGTCTGAGCAAATGGCAGCCGAAACGAATATGAGCCTTCGATATAATCAAACCGCAGAAAATGTCATGTTACCGAGAGGCGAGAATCGTGCAGTTAAGTCACTGGTTTCTCTATTTTTACAGCAATGGACAGGGACCAAGGCGTACAATTTCATCGATCGTCACTTCGCGTCGCTTGTATTTTATACAACTAGTTGTACCTCCTGTTACAAGATCTCACACTCTGCACAGCCAGAACGCGGATTCACAGTGTCGCCTCCGGAAAGCGGAAGAGTTACACTTACAAAACTCCTTGACGAGTGGTTTGAACCCGGGGGCATCTTATGTTCCAGGTGCCAAAAGCCAGAAGACGGGACTCAGACCGACAAGCCTCCCCCCCCTCCTCTTGTGGTGAGAAGACCTCGACTCGCGAAGTTACCCCGTCTACTACGCATATATATCAGAAGACAAATAGATAGGAACGACATAGAGAAAAATAAAACCGGGGTCACTTTCCCTCTTGAGCTTGACATGGCCCCCTACACCGAAGATGCACACATTCGAGAGGGCGCTGCCAAACTTCTAGGTGATGAGCTCAGTGATGGCATGTTGGCTCCTACTTCCTACGAGCTTTACGCTGTGCAGGTACATAACGGCCCTATTGTTAGCTCCGGTCACTACTGGACCTGGGTCAAACACCAACAGCCGGACACGTGGACACGCTGCGAAGACACTTTCATCAAACAGTTTAGCGGGGTCGACTGGCAGAAGAGTCTCGACGATCTACATAAATGCCCGGGCAATGCTACGCCCGTTGGGCTGTTCTATAAGCGCAAAGATATTCCTTGGGCATGGGAAAGCAATTTAGATGATTTGCTAAAGCCATAGTTCTGGGTCTTCGATATGTGTCCAGTTAGTCGATCCGGGAGTACGAGCCGGAGGAAAAGGGAAGGAAAGAGGACGAGTGTAGAACTACCTAGCAACTTGGGAGGATCGGGAGGATCTGAAGTTTCGAAAGAAGGTAACGCTATACTATACCGCCATGGGGAATGGGGTGTTGAGGACGAAATATTGTGCTATTTCTTTTACTTCTCCCGCTTGCTGTAGTAGCTGGACGGCGACGATCTTGCAAAGAGGGGAGGGGGGGGGGGGGGGGGGGGGGGGGGGGAGCGGGGGGGGGGGGGGGGGGGGGGGGGGGCGGGGGGGGGGGGGGGGGCGTG